CCCGCCCATGCCCCAGCCCAGGCACCAGGTCGTGGAGGAGGTGAGAGATTGGGTGTGTGTGGAGGGGCTGACCAAATAAGGCAGTCTATTGAGCGCGATGTAAGCCAGGCCCTCCATTGTCGGACTGGAATTAGAAATACGGGGAAGGAGCCCTGGTCAGATAGCTCAGCTGGTGAGCCTGTCAACCCGATACACCAACGTTGTGGGTTCAGTCCCCAGTCAGGACTCATACAAAAATCAATAAATGAATGTATGAATAAGTGGAATGACAAATCGATGCCTCTCTCTCATCCTGTCACTCTCTCTCTCTCTCTCATTCATCAGTAAATAAATAAAATAAAATAAGAGATACAGAGAAGGAGAAACAGAATCTACCCTGCAGTAGACGAGAACTGATGTGTCATGTGAACTGGGAGTTCTACAGAGGGAGAGAGTACGATGGTTTCCTAGAGCTCATATAACAGTTACCACCAACTGGGTGGCTTAAAACTAGTCATTTATTCTCTCACTATTCCGGAGGCCAGGAGTCCAAATCGAGGCGCAGACAGGGTCACCCTGTACAGACAGGCGCTCTGGGGGAGAGCCCTGCCCTACTCCTGCCAGCTTCCGGTGGCCCCACGTGCTCCTCCGCCGTGACCACGGCACCCCGATCTCGGTGTCCCCCTCTCCGCTGTGCGCGTTCTGTGTCTGTACGGACGCGTGCGATGGCGTTTAGGTGAACCTGCACAATCCAGGATAAGCGTCTCTCAGATCCTTAATTACCTTTTTCCACATAAAGTAATATGCACAGGCTCTGGTGATTAGGATGCCTAGTTCCAGGGATACAGAAGAAAAAAAATCACAAGATGAGACGGAAACACCTGATTATACTGGAAAATGAGAAATAACAAAACAATGATGGAGACAGGTCACGAGGACACCGAAGCCAGCTTGAGGAGGCGCCCTCTGACCCAACTGGGAACAATTTCAGCCTCGAAATGAATCATGATAATAACATTGCATAAAAGAAGAAACCATGGGCCCATGGAAATAAAAATAAATTAATGAATCAGTTAAGAATTTCCTGAGGAATGAGTATTTACATAGTGTCAAAGCACCTCCACACAAAATGCTTATTAATTACAAAAGGGAAACTTTCAGGAGAAAAGCCTAAAGACATCACTTTAATGAAATGACAAAAATGAACATCAAAAGTGGGACAGACTGAACTGTGTTCTGCTGGATAAGATGCACGAAGAAGAATACAGCAACTTTGTACCATCCCTGCCGAAGACGGGAAAACTCCACCCAGTTACGTACGACGACGCAGCAAACAAGCCCAACTGGAGAAACAACTGACCTTCAAAGGTGTGAGGTCATGAAAGTGAAGACTCGTTCCAGATTGACCAAGACGGAGGGAGTACAAGGAACGAAGGAAGAAAGAAAAAAAGGAGGGGGGACAAAGAAAAGTATAGTCCAATATTCTAAAAATATAGATATAAAAATCCTTAACAAAATATTATCAAATAGAATTCAGCAGTATAGAAAAAGAATTACACACCCTGACTAAGAAGAGGGCTTTATTCCAGGGCTATGAGGCTGGTCATAGCATTTGAAAAGAATCGGTGTACTTCAGCACAGTGACCAGCAGTGGTGGCAGCAGCCAGGGGACCCCACAGAGCAGTGCCTGGCATGAAGGTGGGGCCAGGCAAATCTGGGAAAGTGCAAAAACGGAACTCTGCACCGGTGGCTTTTGTTCAAACGAAATGAGGTGCAGCGCAGCACACGCACTGGGCACTGTGGGGTGTGTGTCACATGCTGCGTGTCTGGGAGCCAGGGCCACTGGGGGCACGGGGAAGACAGGGGAAGGGCTGGCCTGCTGCCACGCAAGTGCCAAATGGGACGGCTCCACTCCCTTCTCTAAAGTCAGAGTCATCCTGAGAATAGGGTCGGGGCAAAGGAGAGCCAGAGACCCTGCGGACCAAAATAGAAGAAAGCCCATTCTGGGATGTTTGCCCATTCTGTTTTTAAATCCTAACTGCACCCTTCTCTATTTGAATTTCAATTTGAATTTGAAACCATTGATCTGACACCTTCCCTCACCTATCCCAAAGGTGGAGATAGACACCTAGGTTGCTTCCAACACTTGACTATTGTAAATTGTGCTGCTGTGAACACTGGGGTGCATGGGTTCTTTTGGATTGGTGTTTCGGGGTTCTTAGGATATAACCCTAGCAGTAGAATTGCTGGGTCAGAAGGCAGGCAGTGAAAGACAAATACTATATGATCTCACCTTTAACAGGAACCTAATCAACAAAACAATCAAATAAGCAAAATACAACCAAAGACAATGAAATAGAGAACAGGCTGACAGGGACCAGAGGGGAGAGGGGAGGGAATTTCAGGGGAAAAATGGGAGGGATTTAGAGGAATAAGTATACAGGACACATGGACAAAAACTAAGGGGGCTAGAAATAGGAGGGAGGTGGGGAGGGCTGGGGGGGCTGGGATGGGGGTAAAAGACAGAAAACTGCACTTGAACAACAATTTTTAAAAATTCTTAAAACAACAACGACAAAGGTGGAGACAGGGTCTGAGAGACAGGGCCTGGCAGCTCACTCCAGACCACTCAAATGGGCTACGGTCTAGCCTCCCTTAAAGTGCTTCTTTCATGCTAATGGACTCCAAACAGGAAGTATTCTGGCGTGAGATACCTCGAATTACCAAATCCTCTGCCAGGGACTCATCTCCTAAAATGAAAGGCTCCCAGCTGCCGATGATGTTCAGAACAGTGGAAGTATCATGTCTGCTGCCTTGCTGGCATCCACGCCTTCAGCAGTTGCCGTTCTGGCATCCGTAGTAACCTGATGGTGTCCTATGTCCTACTGAGGCGAAGCTCTGCCTGAAAGTCTGCTTCCACAGCAGTCGGCCTGAGTGCTGGGGGCTCAGGCCCTCGGGAGCAGCCCTTAATCAACTAAGGATGGGAGTTGGAGGACGTGAATCCAGCTGCCATGTCTCTGAGAGGCTGTTCTTCACAAAATGTAAGGTGCTCGTGACCCACCTGGGCATCTTAATACAATGCAGATCCTCACACAGCAGGTGTGGCTGGGGCCTGAGGTACTGCATTTCTAACAAGCTCCCAGGTGAAACCAGGGCTGCTGGTCTGGGGACCACACTTTGCTTTCTGCAAATGCTTTCTGCCATTTCCTCCCAGATATGGTGCTTGTTCTCAAATTTGTGCTGGGGGGGGTCTGTTTCTGGGGGGTGCATCTTGTTCTCTTGTCTTGAATTTCATGCTTCTGGTCCTCAATCACTGCCTGGCAATGTAACTCAGGCCAGACACTTCACTTCCTCCTCTCCAGAATGAGGGGTCACACTGTCTAGTTCCCTTCCCACTCCAACATTCTAAAGATGTTCTCATTATTGCACTTTCCACTCTCCCCCCAATCAGCTCTCCTGCATTTGTGCATGGCCTTTTAAAGTCAAGCTGGCTTCACATTCTGCTCATCTTCAAAAGATGTCTCTAAACAGAAATGGAAAATGGAAGCCTTTTCTTCAAACATAATAGCAAAAATGGCATTTTCATTGTGCAAGAGAAAAAGAGACCATTCAAAAAGACATAAGAATAGTAGCGTTAGGCTGAGGCTATTAAAATTCAAATCAGTGAGAAACCAACAAAAGATATGAAACCACAATCCAAAGACATTTAAATAGGAGATACTATGTATAAGAAAACACAGTACTGGGTTTGTATACTGTGTCTGCTTTTTGATGAAACATCCCTAACATACATATACAGATACAAGCTGTCCCCCTTCCAGATAATCACTGTGGGAAAACAACTTCTTACATCTACACTTAAAACAATTCTGAAATTCTTGAAGTTCACAGAAAACCAAGTATAGGAGTATATACATAATATTACCACTTTGTCCCTGTTTTTTTACCCAAAATAATACAACCCAACCAACTCTATTTCCAATAACTTAATACATTTCCTAAAATATTAATAAATAAAATCCATGCCTGTAACTGTCAGTTACCGCTGTGTAACAGACAACCTCTAAGCACAGTGACATACAATAGGTAAGGTCTCATTCAAGAGTCTATGTGTCTGCTGGTGGCTCAGCTTCAGGCTGCAGGTCGGCAACTTGACCCGCAGGGCTCTGCAAAATGTGAGTTCAGCATCTGGCACCCAGATGCTAATGGGCCAGTTATTCAGGCAGATGATCTTTTCGTGACAGAGGTCACACATTCCCAAGGACAGGAACATATTGTTTTTAGAGCTATACTTGGAACTGGTACACTTTTACTCCCCCACGCTCCACCTCAAAGCAAGTCGCGGGGCCAAGCCCAACATAAATAAATGTCTCCCATGGACTTATCAGTAGATTAAGTAAATCTTTGCTGAACAAAAACCTGCCAAAATGATAGTCAGAACTCTAGGGATATTTTCCAAAGAGATGTGCCAAAAGTGATACAAGTGGTAATACTGTCATTGAAATAAGTAAGTATATAACTACATGAAAGAACCATCTTGGAGGTGTAAGTTTTCATTTGCTTGCTTAAAAGAAGTTATTTTTGTGCTTTTTATAAAAGCTAAACTTCAGGCTTGACTGACTGAATGCATCTAACTTATTTATGGTTATATGGGATGGAAACCTACCTAGAGAAGATCCTGGAGGTTATCAAGTCATGTTTCCTTAATTCTTCTCTTTCATAAATGATAAAATAAAATAAACTTTTAAAAAGAAAAGCAAAATTAACAGACTCTCCATTCTGATGTTTCCAGGCTGGCAGGCCACCTGCACAGGGATGAAAAAGCACCACACATTTGCTGGGGTCGTTTAGGTTTTGTGGTCAGCTGCTCCGACAATCCAAAGCCCTGAGATAAGCCAGGGGATCTGCTACCTTGGCTGCTGCTTTCGGGTCAGCTGCGTGCCTGGCACACTGCTTTGGCCCTCCAAGCTTCCATTTCTTTACTCATAAATGCTCTCCCAGGTGAAGCCGTCCCTAACAATATGACAATCTACGAATCTGTTGTATGTGGGTGGTTTTCTGGTGTCCCTTTCCTTAATGAGAACTGCTTTGTAAAGCCACCGATTTCAGCTCTAGAAAGTGTAGTAGTTTTTATGGGTAAAGACTGAGAATGAAAATTGTCATTTAACATTCTATATTTTGTTTTCTGTAAAGAACAGATCCTGGTGTAAAGTGATAATCTCATTGTGGTTTTAATTTGCATCTCTCTGATGGCTAGCGATATTGAGCATCTTTTCATGTGTCTAGGGATCCTCTGTATGTCCTCCTTGGAGAATTGTCTGTGCAAGTCCTTTGCCCAGTTTTTAATTGGGTTGTTTGTCTTCTTAGAGTGGAGTCGTGTGAGTTCTTTGTATATTTTGGAGATTAAACCCTTGTCTGAGGTATCATTGGCAAAATATGTTTTCCCATACAGTTGGTTCTCTTTTTTTTAATACTGTTTTTTTTTAGCCATGCAGAAGCTTTTTCTTTTCATGAGATCCCATTTGTTTATTCTTTCCTTTATGTCCCTTGCTCTAGAGGACATATCAGTAAAAATGTTGCTGAGTGAAATATATTCTTTTTCCCTCTTCTGCTCTTTGCTTGTAGTGTTTTAATATATTATCTAAAAAATGATTAAAAAAAAAAAAAAATTAAATACTATAGTAAAAAAAAAAAGAAATATATGAGATTTTCCTGCCTATGTTCTCCTCCAGAACTTTTTTGGTGTCACGGCTTATATTTAAGTCTTTTATCCACTTGAATTTATTTTGGTGTATGGTGTATATTTCGAGTTTCATTTTTTTGCACGTAGCTGTCCAGTTCTCCCAACACCATTTGTTGAAGAGGCTATTTTTACTACATTTTATGATGTTGCCCCCTTTGTCGAATATTAGTTGACCACAGAAACTTGGGTTTATTTCTGGGCTCTTTGTTCTGTTCTATTGGTCTATGTGCCTGTTTTTATGCCAGTACCAGGCTGTTTTGATTACAGTGGCCTTGTAATACAATTTAGTATCAGGTAATGTGATCGCTCCTACTTTTTTCTTCTTTCTCAGAATTGCAGCTGCTATTCAGGGTTGTTTACGGTTCCATGTAAATTTTCGAAGTGTTTGTTCTATGTCTGTGAAATATGCCATTGGTACTTTAATAGGTATTGCATTGAATCTGTAAATTGCTTTGGGTAGTATGGACATTTTGATGATGTTAATTCTTCCAATCCATGAACACAATGTATATTTCCATTTGTTTGTGTCTTCCTTGATTTCTTTCTTCGGTGTAATGTAGTTTTCTGTGTACAGGTCTTATACCTGCTTGGTTACAGAGGATCCAGAGACACATGAAAAGATGTTCAAATAAATAACAAATAAATGAATGAATAAATATCACTAGCTATCAGAGAGGTGCAGATTAAAACCACAATGAGATACCACTTTACACCAGTCAGGATGGCTATCATAAACAAAGCAACAAACAACAAATGTTGGAGAGGTTGTGGGGAAAAGGGGACCCTAGTTCACTGTTGGTGGGATTGCAGACTGGTACAACCACTATGGAAAACAGTATGGAATTTTCTCAGAAAACTAAAAATGGATCTGCCTTTTGACCCAGCAATTCCACTGCTAGGATTATATCCTAAGAACCCTGAAACACCAATCCAAAAGAACCTATGTACCCCAATGTTCATAGCAGCACAATTTACAACAGCCAAGAGTTGGAAGCAACCTTGGTGCCCATCAGTAAATGAATGGATCAAAAAATTGTGGTACATATACACAATGGAATTCTATGCAGCAGAAAGAAAGAAGGAGCTCCTACCCTTTGCAACAGCATGGGTGGAACTGGAAAGCATTATGCTGAGTGAAATAGGCCAGGTGTTGAAAGACAAATACCATATGATCTCACCTTTAAGAGGAAGCTAAACAACAAAACAAACAAGCAAGCAAAATATAACCAAAGACACTGAAATAGAGAATAGGCAGATAGTGACCAGAGGGGAGAGGGGAGGGAATTTCAGGGGAAAAGGGGAAGGGTTTGTAGGAACAAATATAAAGGACATATGGACAAAAACTAAGGGGGGTGGAAATGGGAGGTGGTGGGGAGCACTGAGGGGGTGGGCTGGGATGGGAGTAAAAGACAGAAAATTGTACTTAAACAACAATTAAAATAAATAAATTTAAAAAAGAACAGATCTTCTTGGGATTTGCTGGGATCATTAGTAACGAGTTAACGGTTTCTAATCATTAATTCTCTAGATTAAACCCAAACAGTTGCCTTAGTTTGTTGAGTGATTCTGATGTGTTTGCAAAAATCCGCACTTGGCGGTGGAGGGGAGTGATTTTATAACAAAATGATAGATTAATAACAAAGGGCTATTGTAGCCATTATACTATGTTAAGAATCAGAAGGTGGATTTTGAATGAAGGCTTGAGACATGGGTATACATTCTACCCAGCAGTCAATAGCCAGAAAAAGAAAGAGAAGGAGAGAGGAGGGAGGATGGGGGGAACAGAATGAGGAAAGGAAGGGAAGGGAGGGAAAAGGGAAGGAAGAGAGGAGGGAAGGGAGGAAGGAGGGAAGGAGGGAGGAAGGAAGGAAGGAAAGAGAGAGGGAGGGGGGGAGGAAGGAAAGAAGGAAGGAAGGAAGGAAGGAAGGAAGGAAGGAAGGAAGGAAGGAAGGAAGGAAGGAAGGAAGGAAGGAAGGAAGGAAGAAAGAAAGAAAGAAAGAAAGAAAAGAAAGAAAGAAAGAAAGAAAGAAAGAAAGAAAAGGAGAAGGGAGGGACTAAAATCAGCTTCTAAAGCAAAAGTTATACATTGCCCGGACATCATTTAACTAATTAATTCTTAGCTTTCAATCACCTGTCAAGTTCTCCAGACCTATGTATTTACTTACCAAACACACAGGCACATGCTCTGACTTTCATACGTTATCTCATTTAATTATCTGCACAGCCCTGAGATAAGTGCTGCCATCCTCCCTTTCGGGCTGAGAAACCCAGGAGGTTCGCAGCTCTGTCCTCCTCGGTCGCCCCAGGCGACATTTGGCTTCCGAAGCAGAAGAGAGTGCGCCTTGCCCTCCTCGCCCTATCCCGGGGCAATATTGCCGGCAGGTGAAGCTCACCTCGCGCAGCCCGGACCCGGCAGGGAGCAAGAGCCCGGCCAGGGCGGCGCGCGCAGGTGCCCTTTGGACCCCGGCGGGCCTGGCGCGGACCGGGCGCATTAGGCGGACAGGCTGCTCGTGGCGCACCTGTGTCAGGCCGTCCAGCCGGCTCACCCCAACTCCCGCGGCCAGCTCGGCGCGGGGCAGCTGCTCAAGTGGATGGACGCCACCGCCTGCCTGGCGGGTAGGAGCGTGGGGGGCCGGGGCAGTCGATGAGGGGGCCCGGAATGGGTACAGAATGGGTCTGGGGGGTCTGGGAACTAGGAGCAGGGCAGGGCCGTGGGGACGCGCGATGGCGGGGTCAGGACTCAGGAGGATCACGGATAACCCATCCCAGCTCGCGCCACGCCCGGACCAGGATCCGGGACCCCGGGTGAGTGAAGAGAGGAGCGTAGTTTGAGCTGTGAGCTGTGTGCAGCCGGGGCCATGAGGATTAAGCTAGTTCATCCAACGCTGGGAGTTAGTTACCTGGGCCAGTAGGTCCCAAACATTTTAGTCTTAGGACTCCTTTACCCTATTAAATAAATGAGGACCTCCCCACCGAGAGCTTTTGTTTATATGGGTTATTTTTATCCATATTAGCCACATACAAAAAATTAAAAAATCAATTCATTAAAAGGGAACGGGAATGGCCCTGACTGGTGTGGCTCAGCTGGTTGGGCCTCGTACTGCAAACCGAAAGGTCACTGGTTCTTCCCCGTCAGGGCACAGGGCTGGGCCGCGGCGGCCCTGGTCCGGATACGGAGACAACTGACCATGTTTCCCTCTCACATGCCCCTGTTTCTCTCCCTCGCTTTCTCCCTCCCTTCCCTTCTCTCTAAAAAATAAATAAATAAAACATTTTTAAAAAATAAAAGGAACAGGAATGAGCCTATTACCTATTTTTATTGAAAAAGGACTCCATTCTCAACAATAACAAAAATGTACTTAAAGGAGTATTGGGTACATTTCTGCAAATGTCTTTAATGTCGGGTTAAATAGAGGATTACTCTGTTCTATCTGTTTCTGCATTCAGTGTGTGTTGCCTACCACACACTTAACTAGTCTCTGCTCAGGTCCTTGGCCCCTGATTTCCACTTTGCCATTATACTCTTCTCTTGGCCCTTCCCATGCATGCACTGTATGTCAGCTTAAATACCATTTCCTTAGAGACACTTTTTCAACCATGCTTACGTTTGCACCCTTTTGTCAATTTCGCTGCAATGCTTTTGGCAGCTTATACTGTCAAGGTAAGAAACGTCTAAACAAACCTGTAGAGAATAAATATTTACAAGAGTTTATTTGAGCCAAACTGATGACACATGCTAGAAGCAAGATTTCAAACGCTTTAGACAGTAACAGTTTTGCAGCTTCTTTTATGCATTTGAAATTAAAGAGGGGATTGGAGGGAGATGGGAGAAAGCAAGGCAGGGACTGGACCGCAGGATAGTTAAGATTATGAGCTCTCTTGAGAGTCCATACTCCTGTCGAGGGATATTACTTCTGGAATCTCAAAGGTGTGTTAACCTTAGATGCACAAAACAACGGCTATGCATCTAATGGTTTTTAGACAGGGTTGGCTTAAAATCTTTCACTAGAGAATCTACATACCTGGGGCATGAACTGCCCAGTTAGAAGTTTAGGATGAGATCATCCTGTGAGATTACTTTCCATAGAACCCATTTTTTCACTCACGATACTACCTAGCACTGTCTGTAACTATTTTGTATTTTAATTTGTTTGCCTGTTTATTTCTTACCTTGCCAATTAGCATGTAAACTAAAGCTAGTTCTCCTGGGCTAGGAAGCACCAAATGAAAACTTCCTGATGATATGGATAGATAGATAGATGAATGGATGGTTCCAGGAAAAGAAATCTCATTTCTAAGAGGAAGACTTTGCATAAGACACCTAATAGACTCGGCAAATGTACTTTTTCAAGTAAAATATGTTAAGATAAAATATTAGAGCTGGAATGAACTTTAAAGATCATGTGTCCTGGACCCTTAAGTCACAGAGGGCAAAGTAAACTCAGATGATTACAGAACTCTGCTTTCCTCGATGAGTGTTAATAGAGTTAGTTTCTAATTCCCTGTGTGTTAACCACCTGCAAAATCTAGTCATACATCTGATGCCAATCTGTTTGTTTGTTTTCTGTTTGTTAATAGGTTTGTTTTGTTTCTGTCTTAATAGTTTTTTATCAGGATTTGAGGTGGGTTATAATAACATGATGAGAACATGAATATAAAATTAATCCACGTGAAGGAGAAACAAGTATAGAAATCATTGAGGTTGCTAATAATAATGATGCCTGTTGCCAAGGCAACTGAATACATTATATGAATATTGAAGTAACTTTTTTCATTGTTCAATTACAGTTGTCCCAATTTTCCCCCGTTGCTCTCCCCTCCCTCAGTCAGTCCCCACCCTGTTGTTGGAATCCTTTATACCCTTTCCGTGACTAGACCCTCCCCCCTCTTACCCCTGCGGTCCCTCTCCCCCTCCCCTCTGGTCGCTGTCAGTTTGTTCCATGTCTCTGGTTCTATTTTGCCTCCTTGTTTGCTTTGTGGTGACTTTTAAGTTACCTCACTTAGCGCCCCTGTCCTGTAAATGGAGAAACAGTCGCCCTCCTGCAATTGTCACAAAAATCTCTGTGCTTTTACATCTTTGGAAACTCAGACCATGGGATGATTCCACTGATGACCAATTACCCTGGACCTTCACAGTTATGATGCTAACAATACAGTATTAAAGAAACCTCTATGATAAAGGTAGCCCGGAAACATGGAGAATGCCTGTGTTGAACACTCCATGCTGAGAAGAGGTACCGCGTGAGGAAGGGACGTAGTTATTTAGCCAAGGTGTAACTAAACTCGGAGCAGGGCAGGGCTCCACCACACTGCTTCACTTCATAGGACAGGAGTAACGCAAAAACTAGGTTTTCTGGCATTTTCCTAACTGGAGTTCCTTACTGACCAGCACTTCTGTACAGGCACAGCACGATGACAAACAATGGTGACAGTCGAGGCCCCAGGACATGCCCACAGGACATTCCCAAATGCCTGAAGGTTAAACAGCTTCACTCTCATTTTGGCATAAGACCTCATCTGTCATGGGCTCTACTATCCTTTTAGTTCTTTAAGCCTAAAGGCTTGAAAGCATTTTGAGTCATTCTTCACCCTCCATATCCATTTCTAATTTTGCAATACCCCACACTCACTTTTCCCGCCCTATTTCACGTGCGAGTCTTTTCCAGTGTTTGTTCACTCTCTCAAGAATGACAGCCAATCCATCCAGCTATGCAGGTCATACATCTGGGGGTGATCCATCCTTGGTAGCTCTTACCTTGCTCCCCCCTCCGTGCATTCAACCTGTGAGCCGTGTCCTGTCAATGTCACATGAAGGAAATCTCTCATCCCAACCACTTGGCTTTGCCTGCACGGCTACCGCCCAGCCCAAGCCTTCCAAGTCTGGTTCCTTAGTTACCCTCATAAAATCCGTGTTTTCTTCAGAGTTCTTAATTAATTTTGCTATTGTTTATTTATTTAATTAATCCCTGGCTCTTCCACTAGACTCCATGAGAACAGGAATCATGACTGTTTTATATTTTCAGCACCTTACACTGAGGCTGGCATAGCACAGTTGTTCAATTAGTTAAAGGAATGAATGAAGGTACCACAATTTTTATCAATTACCATTCTACAGCTGCTTCACAGCCATGTAACCAGTCTGCTAATTTTCCTCTCAGCTTCCCCAGAGAATCAGAAGTAGTTTTAGAGTGTTTCCACTTTTACTGGCATACAGTATGAGCAACCATCAAAATCAGGAGCCAGAACAGGTTGGTGCTGTTGAATTCACATCTGATATACTTATGAAAACAGTTGCATATCATCACATATAAAAATGTGGCCCTATACTGGTTTCTCATATTTTTGTTTTTATTTTCAGTGTAATGGCCCTTGAAAGTCTGTGATGTATGCACGGCTGCCGAGGCGCTGAAGCCCCTGCTTAGCCCACCCAGCTCCTTTCCAAGGAGCATTCCTTGGGTGGTCTTTTCTGAGTTCCTGTTGCTTCTGCAGTTAAAAATCCCTGTGTAAAACAATGTGTTGAATCTTTCCAAGCCTGACTTTCCTCATCTGTGAATGGAACTAATAATTGTACCGACCTCATGTAGTGGACTTTCATAAATTCTTAGCTCAAGGCCTGGCCAGTAATAAATGCTTAATAAATGGTAACTATTATTATAATTATGTTTCTTCTTGGTCCCTGGTGCAATCTAATATAATGATACACATACATAGTAGATACCCAATATATACAATAAAAATTTAGTCTTTTATTGGTTATTGCACTTTAATTACCATCTAAATCATTCAAAATTGGTAACTCATGTGGGTGCACATGGTAACACTTTGTTAACAAGAAAAGATTGATAAGTTCCACATCCATTCCCTCGGGCCAGGTAACTGGAATGAATGTCTGTTAGACGCCCTTTAGTCGATGTTCTACAGCATATATCTGTAAGGCTCGGTTAGTTCTCTGGGAATCTTAAGCACTAAAAGGTCGCTGACTGCAGCTGGATCTCCGCCACTGGGGAGACTTGTTAGAAGATAGGACCGATTCATCTCAGTCTCTAGAAGTCAGTGGGGACTTGACAAATGTCTGAGACACAGAATTAAATTGATCTTGCCTTAAGTGCAAGGCGGGGGAAAGCAGGTTTACAGTTGTGACTATACAAAACACAGTTTATTCTTGTATTCTTATTTATTAGTTATGATGTTATTTATTTATATTACAACTCCAAGCCCAGCCCCGTGTTTCTAGAGTCTGATACCTGTACACATTCTCACTAAACTTTATAGCTGGGAAAGCCACGCTCCTCACTCCATCACCCACAGAGTTCTGCTGTGGTTCGTTTGCAGGTAACACAGTTTGCTGTGTGTGTGTCTGGAAGAACAGTGAGTTACTTCCAGCTAGTAAAACCGGAATGTTCTGTTTTCTACAGAATTGGATTATAGGGAAGAGAATTTTAAACACTTGCTCTCCAGAAGATTTTATGACCTCTCTTTACCTGGGAATATATATTGCAGTTAAAAAATCCAGTACACACAAAGACTACAAATTCTGTATAATTTACTGTTTCTTTTTTCGTAACATGGCATCAGGAGTGAAGTCTCCAAAACTAAAATAGGGTTAAAAGTTCTTAAAAAGCAAATGCAGCCTGTTTGGGTTTTAACTGACTATTCCTCAAAATCAAATTCCGGAGGAAGCTTATGTCAAAATTTTTCCCAGAGAGAATAAAATCTGATATTTTTACATAAAGTACTTGTAAAACCAATAATCAAAGTATCTCAACAAATTAAATGCAGACATGGGACATGGAAATAAGTGGAGTTCCCCCTCCCCAGTCTCTCTCCACCCTAATCAATACTCTCCTCCTCCAACATAATTCGTGCATAACAACTGTTGACTAAATACCTGCTGCGTTTCTCTGATGTCCAGCTTTGGGGTTTTGATCTCAGGGTTCCCCACATGTTCAATGCGTACACTGGCTACGTGGCTTAAACACACTCAGCCACTGGTTGTGTGAGACAATGGATACAGTTGTGATGCATTGTTTTTAAAACAAAGGGAAGGCAGTACCTAACAAAACACTTCAAGTTGGTACCAACTTACTATTGTTATTTATGTAAGTAGATATTTGAATTGCTATTTGAATTCAAATTGCTATTCGAATAACTCAATATGCTGGGTACTGGTATTGAACTTCAAATCAAAGATGACATAAATTAAAATGTAGAAGAAACTGCAGTAATTTCCACGCAATAGAAATACACCCGTTACGAATCAGATAAACATGTGAAGCTGAGAAACTTGCTGGGATTTCCTGTGTTACAGCCTCAGTGGATGACATACAATTTGAGGAGACAGCTAGGTGAGTGGAAGTGCTCTTTCTAGCCTTTCTCCTGAGTGTATTGATTTATTTGCAACACATAAGCTTGTTCATGTTAAGTCAGTAACCTATTCATTAATAAAGTAAATAACATTTAACCCATAGTAAATCAGTAAAGAAATTTGCAGGACCTACTTTTTTTCAATCCTCACCCAAGAACATGCTTATTAATCTTTAGAGAGGGAGGCAGAGAGAGAGAGAGAGAGAGAAACATAGATGTGAAATAAAAACATCGATTGGTTGCCTCTCATATACACCCTGACCAGGGACCAAAACAGAAACCCAGGCATGTACCCTTACCGGGAATTGAACTTGTGACTTTTTGGTTTATGGGACAGTACTCCAACCAACTAAGCCACCAGGCCAGGATTGCAGGACCTACTATTAACAAACATTCTTAAGTGTAGATTCGGTCCTGAATTTGTGGAGAAATAGCTCTCAGCATTACATGCATTCAAATAATGTCAAATAGACATTGTCCAATAGATTTTCCTCTGGCGAATAGGAAAAGGACTTCACAAGACGAGGTGCGAGGTGCGTAAAGAGCCCAAGCATCTGGGTGGAGAGGAGCAGGGAGTGCTCAGCGAACACCCGATCTGCGGGGGGGATGATTGCCCAGCTGGAGATGGCGGTTGGGTAGCAGAAGGCTTTGAATGCGATGCTGTGAAATTAGTTTTATTTGGTTGATATTTTAGTCATTTCATTATTTGGATTCAGTGTCAGGAGTGTGGTTTGGTGGAGGGTTCCCCTGCTTTTAAAGTCAGGGCAGAGTTCACAAACTAATAAAAGTGGCGGAAATTTTCCTTTCTCAAAGTCTGACAGGCGGGGAGATATCAGACTTCAGTACTATCTGAGTACAAAGCACTGCAATAGCTTTGAGGACAGACTCTACTCTGCTTGGTGCCATTGCTGTACATCTTTACTAGAAACCTTACCAAACAGATCTGGGAGATCTGGGAAGTCTAGGAGGAACACACTTAAGGAAAAAGAAAATTAGTTTGGATTTGCGTGTACTAAATATGGGGAATACGTTACATTAGGTAATGTCTGTGGAAGCAGCTAGCGCTGAGCCTAGTACAGCCTCCATGACTATTAGCTGAATCTGCTGAGAGCAGCGGCTCTGAAAATATGGCTCCCGTGTCAAGAATGAGGCCCACGAAAAGTCATCTCTATGAAGATGATAAGATTACAGAAGAAGAGAGTGAAGTGGGGAGAAAATAGGACAAAAGAGAAATTTGGTAGATGTTTACACTTAGGGGACAGATTAAGGAAGAGAAATCAGTGAAGGAAACCAAGGATGAAATGAGAAGAGTTTTTTGGAAACCAAGGCAAGAGAAAGTTTCCAGAAGAAAGAGTGTTTTGAAATGAATGGGTCTGGCTGTTAGGAAGGAACTGTGGAGAGATCAGGAGTGAGATGTGGAGGCAACGGCGGGATTACAGCAGCTGAGACTTGAGTGCGAGATGAATGTCCCAAACTGCTACACCTGGGGAAATCCTAATCTTTGAAGACCCATCTCAAATGTCTCCTTTTCCTGGCTTCTTAACTGACTTTTCAAACCAGTCATTTCTTCTGGGTACCTTTGCAATACTTGATTCTTTTATTCTACCACCCCCCCCCAAATCACATAGCATTGCACTTCATCTACGGACAACTGGTGTCCCGCGGGAGGCCCCCTTGATGTCATTGTGTATCTTGAGATCTTAGCTTAATGCCTGCTGAGCTTACTGAGGTCATAATTCCGTAAACATTTGTTAAATATATTTAAAAAAAGAAAAGATTATTTCAGGAAGTTTGAATATGAAGGAAAATAGAAAAGTCTTGTGATAGAATAGGATTGAGAGAAGGATTTTAGAAAGGATAAGCATTTTCATAGATTGACAAGGAGTCAAGAATGGGTGGAGAGTGAGGATACAAAGGAGGAAAGTGTGGACTAAGACAGCCGATGGTGGGATGGGATCAAGGGGGCAGGTGAAGGAAGAGGTCTGGAAGAGATCTTTCTTCCTCTGTCACAGAAGAGTGAGAACAGTGAGAATGTAGTTCACCGTTGAAAGTAAAGAAGAAAAATCGAAGAGGCTTATGTAGGATAGACCCTTCCCTTCTGCTCGGGGGAAGGAATCAGAGGTGACTGAGAGACCTGAACAGCTTTGGGCTGCACGACTAGAATTCCAGTAATGATGGGCAGTGAATGGACCACCTAGTAGCACTGAGGGGCCCTCTAAACCTAGTGAAGCTGATCAACTTCAGGATCTGATTGTTTGTATGTTTATTCATTTATTTGTTAACTAACATTTTATTTTCTTTGTCTAGTGTTCTTTTTTCCTTTTTTTATTGTTGTGCAATTACAGTTGTCCCCATCTCTCCCGTTACTTTCCCCTGCCCTACTCACCCCCATCTCTCGCATTCAATGCTCCCCCTTCCCTGTTGTCCTTGTCCATGGGTCCTTTATACATGTTCCTTGATGACCCTTCCCTCCCTTTCTTTGCTGCATTATTTCTCTCCCTCTTCCCCTCCCCCTTGGTTACCGTTAGTTTATTCTTTAATTCCATGTCTCTGGCTCTATTTTGCTCACTTGTTATGCTGATTAGGTTCCACTTAAAGGTGAAATCATATGGTATTTGTCTTTCACCACCTGGCTTATTTCACTTAGCATAATGTACTCCAGTTCCATCCATGCTGTCACGAAGGGTAGGAGCTCCTTCTTCCTTTCTGCTGTGTAGTATTCCACTGTGTAAATGAACCAGTTATTGGTTATCTAATATTTTAAAATAAAGATCAATTGCATAGGTTTGTGTTTTTTTAACTTCTGTTAAGGCAACAGCATCAAAGTATCTGTTGCAAATTTAGAACTTGTTTGGCACATAGTCTTTGCCAAGGCCCTCTTCTGTTTAAATGTAGGTAGTCAGCTAACATATGTGTGGTTCAGAATGATTGGCATCTGTTTTTAGTGCTGTTTTTTTCTGTTACTATCCTGAATTTTTCATGCACAAGCATAAGGTGAAACTTCTCTATGGCACATGCATTTAATTAAATCTTTAAGTATAAAATGAGGTGTGCTAGGATTGTTAGCATAGGTTCTTAGTATTACTAAAGGAAGGGAACAAATGGAATCAAATGTTAAGCTTAAGCTGGGAAGATGAATCAGATATTGGGCCTGCTTCACTAGGAGGTTACAGTATCCCATCAAGCTTGATTTACTAGGAAGCCATACCATTTATAGGCTCGTTCACACACTCCAGGAGACCAAAGCATCCTTTGCCTTTAGGACTTAATCCTTGAAGTAGGCAGAAAAAAGTCTCCCCAGGAAACTTCTGGCTTGGTGCCAGATTATGTCTGGGGGCAGGGGGGTGGGGGGAGTCAAGAGCAGGGGAGGAAATTTCTCTACTTTGAAGCTAGTAGCCAAGATGATACAGGGGCAGATAAGAACATGAGCAGTAGAAACCAGATGAAACAGCAGACACTTTTAGCCATGAACGATGGAAGCCAAGATGATGCAGTGTAGGAAACCAGTTTGTTTTAAATCTGGCAAATGTAACTCAGCTCTGTATGGAAAACCTACAAGAGCGATGTGGTGGGCAGGAGCCAGACCCTCAAACTGGGTTTTCCCTTGGGAATCAGGCCTAGAAAATGCATACAGACTGTTATGGCTTGCTCTTGCTAAAACTCCCTCACCCTGATCTAAAACAGTAGATGTTTATTGTCTGTCTTCAAGGTAATATCCAAAGCCTGTGTGAATTTTTCCAAGGATGGAGCTAATCAGCTTGCCACCTCTCCCTTCTGCATTTGTTATTTTCATTTCCTTGATTGTACCTAAAATATAGACAACAATATTCTATGTAATAGATAATAAATCCTTCTTTGATGTAAGACCCGAGAAAAGCAATAAAAGCCTTTCCAGACAAGAGTCAGTGTGCTCTCCCCTTGAGAGGGTGGCCAAGGTGCTCTTCACTTGAGAGAAGCGGCCACAGGACTCTCATCTTAAGAGAGTACCATACCTTCCCTTCTTCTCCACAGGACTGCTGTAGTCTGAACATTTGTTTTCGTCTTCAGTCACAACACACAGACTCTGCTGGCCAGAGTCTACCACGGTGCAGGGGGTAGGTGCTTCGACTTTGAGGCATATGGGGCAGTAAAAGCAAAAAAGGCAAAATGAAGGGGAAGAGCCAAGCCTGGGAAAAGGATTGGATTGGATGAAGGCACAGAAACCTAGAAGGTCTAGGAAAGAGATTGATTAGGAGGAGGGCCCAACAGAAGCCAGGGAAAGAAAAATCAGGAAGTAGATTGGATGGTTTCAGTGACAGCTTGCTCATTACCGAGAACCAAGAAAATATATGGAAGATTATTAGGAATCTCCAGGCAGTTGCTGCTAGAGCCTGCCTGCCTACTATATCCTTGTGGGTGTATTATTTCCCTTCACCCCCATAAATCTTACCACACATATGCCCTTTGAAATTCTTTTCTTGCAACACTACAAAAATCCCATTTTCACTGGCAACAGCATTACTGAGTTTTTTTTCTACTAGAGTTGGACAAGTTATAACCATCAAAGCAAAAGTTGCTAGAGCATTCAGCACAAGCATGGAGGTAAGAGGCCCCTTTCTTTCCTTCTGTCTGTTGGTGCTAATAATAAAATTAGAAAATGTGTATCACATAATACCAACTTAAAAAATTACAATATAAAACTACGAATGTGGTACGATGATTTTATGTGCATATATACACATATGTGTCATATTTTATATATAAAATAATATGCATTTTATATTTCACATATATATCATGTATATGTAACTGAAAGTTACATATATAGTTACATATAGTTACATATAACTTTTATATATGTAAAAAAGTTATATGTAACTATATGTTATAGTTATATATAACTAAAAGTTACATGTAACTATATGTAATAATTACTAAATGTTAGTAATTATTAGTCTGAGTGGTGAGATTATTATTACTGATAATTCCTCTGGATAGATTCCAATTTTATCATTTATTGATTTTTGTATTTACTAACTTTTCCATGGTAAATATATATCTTTCTATAATTAGAAAAAGGTTCTGTTTCTAACTTTATAGATCATAATTAAAACAATAGCATTGCTTAAAAATAAATTAAAATGCTGGTTTCATTCAAAAACCAAATGAAAAGGAATGATGAAGTGAATAACTGAATTTTGTTTTTTTTTAAGTTCATTATAAATATATTGGTAATCTATTACAGTTGTCCCATTCTTTTCTCCCCTTTATTCCTCTATGCCCTGCACCCACCCTCACACCCACATTCCCCCTCCTTACTTCATGTCCACGGGTTGTACATATAAGTTCTTTAGCTTCTCCACTTCCCATACTGTTCTTAACTTCCCACTGTCATTTATGCTTCTTGTTCGCTGTATCTTTCCCCCCATTCTCTCCCCTTCCCTCCCCACTAATAACTCTCCATGTGTCCTCCATTTCTGTGAGTCTCTTCCTATTCTAGTTGTTTGCTTCATTTGTTTTTGTTTTTGTTCTCATTCAGTTGTTGATAGTCGTTAGTTTGTTGTCATTTTACTGTTTATTTTTGACCTTCTTTTTCTTAGATAAGTCCCTTTTTAACACTTCATACAATAAGGGCTTGGTGATGATGAACTTCTTTAATTTTACCTTATCTGGGAAGCACTTTGTCTGCCCTTCCATTCTAAGTGATAGCTTTGCTAGATAGAGTAATCTTGGATGTAGGCCTTATGGGAACTCCTTTGTAGGTAACTGTCCCCTTTTCTCTTGGTTTTTTTTTTTTTTTAAGATTCTCTTCTTATCTTTAATCTTAGATTATGTAATTCTGATGTGCCTTGCTGTGTGCTTTCTTGGATCAAACTTCTTTGGAACCAAAGAGCTTCCCGGACTTCCTGGAAGTCTATTTATTTCACCAGATTGGGGAAACTTTCCTTCATTATTTTTTTCAAATAAGTTTTCACTTTCTTGCTCTTCCTCTTCTCCTTCTGGCAGCCCTGGAATTAGGATATTATAATGTCTAAAGTTGTCCTGGAGGTCCCTAAGCCTCTCCTTATTTATTTATTTGATTTCTTGTTTCTTTTTTTGTTCTGGTTGAATGTTTATTTATTCCTTCTGGTCTGAACTATTGATTTGAGTTCCAATTTCCTTCCCTTCACTGTTGGTTCCCTGTATATTTTTCTTTATTTCACTTTGCCTAGCCTTCACTTCTTCCTGTGTTCTGTGACCATACACAACCATTTCTGTGAGCATCCTGATTACCAGTGTTTTGAACTCTGCATCTGATAGGTTGGCTATCTCTTCATTGCTTAGTTCTGTTTTTGGAGTTTTGATGTGTTCTTTCATTGGGGCCATATTTCTTTGTTTCAGCACACCTGATACATTGTAAGAGGCAAAGCCTTAGGTATTAACCAGGGAAGGGCATCCATGTCACTGTGTTGTGGCACTATATGTGAGGTAGGAGCCAGACAGGGAACAATGCTGCTTGCTCTGCTCTCACCCTTCTTTCAGTCACTTCCCCCTCTACCCACAAGCAATTTGGGCCCTTCTGGTGCTAATTCCTGGGTGCATGGATTTGTGTATGTTCTAGGACTCCATGGGTCTCTCCGATGAACTCTCCTGTGAGTGTGGGAGTTTCTCCCACCATGGCAACCACCACAGATTTTTACAGTCAGAGATTTTGAGGCTTTCTTTTCCTGTGCTGAAACCCTAGGTTGTGTGATCTCTCACTCTTCAGTTGTTCCTCTCAGTTTATCTGCATGCAGATGTGGGACCACCAGCCACCACCTTGCTATGTGTCCTCTCTGCCTGGCTATTGTCTTAGCCCCTTCTACCAGTGTGAATGAATGTTTCTTTAACTCCTTGGTCATTGGACTTCCATATAGTTCAATTTTCTAGCATTTCTGGTTATTTTAAGATTTTAAATTTGTTGTCATCCTTCTTTTGGTTGTGCGAGGAGGTAAAGTGGGTCTGCCTATGCCTCCATCTTGGCCAGAAGTCGCATAACTGATTTTTTAATGCCACAGTCTTATTTGTTATCAGGATAGCTAAAAGTGTACTTATTTATTTTCTTTTCATTTAGATCAGCATCAAGGTCGCAGTACAAGACATGCTCACTGGCACAGAGGAGCTTGTTTGTGTGGCCTTCTGTACATTTGTAGCCAAGTCAGTTGGAAATGAAAAGGTAAATTTTTTGTGTGAAGGATATATTAACAATTGAATCAGAATTATTGAAAAATGGACATTCAACTTACCATGGAAAATTCTTCCCGAAGATTTGTTATTCATCAATATTCATCATGAAAGTTATCCTTGTGTGGTAGTGTCACAGTGTTAAGTAATTTAGAGAAAAGACAACGTAGCCAGTTTGTGAAAGAGGATAAAAATATTGTACTTTAAATTATCTAAAAGTCCTATTAGTCTCTCAAAAATATTGCTTAGTGTTTTAGTTCTTTTCTTTTGGGGTTATATAACTCCAATTTGAGTTAAAAAATTTTTTAAAGCAAGAGCAATTTAGTAAGCAGTTGCATGTTATGGTCCAATCATTTTTTATACCTAAAGGAAGAATGTCAAAGTTGCTGAGTTATCGAAGTTTAAAAATAAGCTTCAGGGCATATGAGGTAAAAACACCCTTAAAAGAAACACATTGGCCTGATGTACAATATGTGCCCAGTAGGCTTGCCTGGCCATTGGCCCAGAACAGCTTGCCCATAGTCTTCTGGAGAGTTATTCATTATAATTTCTTGGCTTTCCTTTTCAGGGTCAGTGTGCCTCAGGGAGGGTCCCAATTTAGTCTAAGTATTTTTAAATGTAACAATTCAATTTAGAATTTAAATCTTTCACTGCAAGAATTGCTCCAGAGGTGGGCACAGCGGCTTCTCCTAGTTCTACTTTGAAGTGGCAGGCAGTGCTTCTCACTCTGCCAGTGTGTTCCTCTCAGACTGCCTCAGACTTTAGAGGTGGGACGACACTGTGTTTTCACTGCACTCATTAGAAATAACAACAGAGCTGCACTCACCAGATATGCCTCACTTGAGCAAGGAGGCGTGGAGATGAGCCAGGCTGAGCTCACCCACCATGGTGCCTGGGGAACAGGCATCCCTGCAGAGGTTTGTCCACTGGGACACTTCCCCTACTCTCTACCCAAATTAAAGAGGCCACAAGCAAATTCACATTGCCCAAAGGCATCATTTTTCAAACAGAAGTTCACATAAGATATTATGTTACTTAAAATATAGCTTTCTGGGCCATACCCCCAACCTACTTAATTAGAATCACTCATATGAGAACGTGGAATCTGTACTTTGACAAAGTATCCCAGGGATCCTATGTTCACTGAAATGTAAGCTGTTCAGATAGATGTTGCTGACCACTATTGTCCCTGGAGTCCCCATAAATCTCCAGGCTCTTGGTAATAGGAGAATGTGGAGGTGGGGGCAGAGTTCCCAGATCTGAGAGCAAGTGACAGAAAGCTTGTTCTCACCATCACCATCCTCTTCCTTCACATGAAGGGAAAAAAAGGGCCATCAATTTCCCTCCAGCTTTAAACTTCTTACTCCAACTTCAGGGACTCATGGAATAAGAATGTAGTAGTTACACTACAGTTCAGTCTCTGCTGAGACTGAAGAACTGTTTTTCTGAAAGCATTTCTGGGAAGTCATAGACCTTATGGTGCTGCCATGAGTGGTTATTGGCTCAGATAACCTTTAATATAAAGCACAGTGTCCTAGACTAACTTATTTTCCACTTGGTAGCATTCTTGTTCAATCAAACAAGCTCGTTCAGCTGGACATTCTCATTCAGCACATCATAAAAACAGCCATGAAAAATCAGTGGTTTGGTTTGAAGAGCTAGGCCTACCTGGATCTCTGTCCAAAGTTTGTTTATTCCAGAACAAGATGTGCAATGATTAACTAGGTTTAGTTCAATAATTGTACAGGCCACATCACTGAAGGACTCACAAGACTCCACAGAGTCTGCTCGTGCAAAGCCTACCCAAGCTACCTGGAGGTAGTACAGCAAGAGAAGAAACTTGTAGGACGTTTGGTCCTTTTCAAAGCATCCACTAAGAGACATTTGGTCCATGCCGAAAGCTCTTTATTATTTGTGCCTTGACCAGCTTGGCTACCAAGGCAAGAAGGGTTATTATTGCCAGTACAGCTACTACACAATTATTGGACTAACAACACATGAGGGTATTTTAAATTTATTAACCCTGTAAACCAAGTCTAAAAAACATTATAGGCTCTTTGAACCCAGGGACATTTTCTAAGCATGGCTGTTTTGGACAGGACCAAATCTCCAGGACCTTTCAGCAAGGGACCAGATGTCTCCATGGATGTTTTGGACAAGACTGCATGTCCACTAATGGAGAAGGAAATCACAGACAAACATCAGAGAGGTTTAAGACTGCTAGGCATTGCTCTCGGGCTTCTCTTCAGTCACACAGAATACACTTTATCTACAGATTGGAAAACCAAGGCATTAGTTTGCCAGGTGCAACTCCTCTGATAGCACAACTAAAAGAAGGCTGTGTAAGCAGTTAAACCAGTGCAAATTATTAGTCTGTACATTCCTCAACACATTAGACAAGGCAGTCCATGGAGAATTTTAGACTTAAGGCAGCATATTATAAATCACAAGCTAATTCACCCTTATCTTAGCCAAGGCTTAACACCAGCCTTTGGCATCCGGGAAATAAGCATGGAGCTACCCCAGTCCAGCTGCAGGGTGCCTCTTCCTGATACACACACAGGTCAGCAGGCAGGCTTTGCTGAAGGAGCTTGATCCCTTGGTTCTACCGCATCATAGTTTCAGGTTCCTAGGGGTTGTTTAAAGCTTGATTCCAACACATTGATTCTTTCAGTTTGCTTATGTGTTCATCATGTGATGAAATTTCCAAATTGGGAGTATCTCTTGGTACATGATAGGTTACTCTAAAACACCTTTATGCTGTCCTTTTGATGTCTTAATTTTAGAAAAGGCAGAAAAATTTCTGGGTAAGAATTCAGTGGCATCAGAAATATATCTCCCCATTCATTAATTTGAAGAATTTCTTATTTTGTATTCTGTTGAAAATTTTAATAATCAAAGAAAATTAATTGAAAAACTGTTTAAATCACATATTGTCTTATACAAAGAAATAATGGTCTATATTTTTTAGTTTAAAAGTATTTTAAGAAATATTTTTAGTTAAAATTAAATGTGTGTGAAAACACCCACAGATAGTTTACTTACTTTGAGTTAGAAAACAATGTTAATATATTATCTTTTTTTGCAAAATTCATGTTGTGCTTTAACAAGGCAATGAAAGATCATTTTTTTCTCTAGATTCATTTAAAACCAGTCACGCTTCTAACTGAACAAGACCATGTAGAATATAATCTGGCTTCCAAGAGGAGAAAAGTTTGATTACAACATGAAGATACCTTTAAAAACCTGATGAAAGAAAGTAGCAAGTATGATGGTCAGTAAATCTACTTACAGGAACTTTAATTATATTATTAGGATAGGTGAAGAGGTCCTTTCTAAAGGCACACTTATTCTTACCATATTATTACAGTCCAGTCCTGGTGAAGCTAGAAATCTTTTCCAACAAACCTAGTGCTGAAGAAAGAAGGGGCTGGCCATCCAGAACAGAACTGCTGACACCTACGACCTCTTCGAATCTGGGGATCTCCAGTGGCAGAGATGTGAAAGAAGGGCAGTGGGGACGGGGCAGTCCCTGTTAGTCAGCGCGTGCTCAGTAATGACAGATGAATGAAGGAATGGCAACGCCATATGTTGATCTGATGTTTCACAGTTTACCAAGCAGTTTCTCACCTGTTATTTTATATGAGCTGCTTATAATCTCAGCGGAGGAGGAAAATGAAACTCTGACTAGTGAGAACCTAGCTAGAGATTACAGCAGATATGAATGGAAGCAATAAGATTCTACTCCTATTGCTCTTCCACAGTAACACTATGATGAGCCAAGTGTCTTACTTCTTTGGCAGTGATTTCCTGAGTTCTTTGAGACCTCGTGGGGCCAGAATGGCAGGGAAAGGAGGCCCCCCCTGCCCCTCACCTGCCCTTCCTGTCTGCCCCATCTCCTGCAGCCCCAGAGGAGATAACCTTGGTGAAGAGCAAAGTGTGTGAGGGAAGGACCAGCCTGAGCCCCTCTCACTCTCTACTACAGGAGAGCGAAGGGGCTCACAGAAGATACAGCTCTCTCCCCTTGGGTCCAGAGGCAGAAACAGGAAAAAGAAGAAAGCAAGAAGACAAGGAAGGGTCAGGATAAGAATGTGAAAAAAGGAAAAGGAAGAAGAGTGCACTCCAACAAAGGCCGGAGGAGAGAGGAAAGGCAGAGGCAGGAGGCCCTGACATCTGAGGGCTTTTGTCTGTCCCATGTGACATCATCATGGTCCCGGAAGACCACCCCACTGACAACACTGATTTGGAAACATGGTTTTCCAATGCTTCTACTCATTGATGACCTTCTAAACACAATGCCCATTACCAAGTTATTTTTAAGAAAATGAAGGCTTCATCTTCCAACTATTGTGCTGAGGAGAGTGAGTCTCCTTCTGTAAAGATGACCTCAGTACTAAAATATATTTTAAATGCATTTTGATGAAGTAATCAGATAGCTGAACCATGAGAATAAGGTAACAATAACAAGAGAACTAGGGAGGAAATTCAAGGTTGAAGGAGGCAGACATAAAAAGATAAAACTCTGTCATAAGGGCTCCCTCAGACCATGCTAAGAAGCTTGCCCTTCCTCTGTCCTTGATGAGGACCAGTGCAGGGTTTCAGCAGGGTTCTTGCATTAGTAGGCTTCACTTGATAGCATCACTCTGAAGAGGTGAGACTGGAAGGCTAGGGACTAGGCAAGACATGAGGAGTAGCTGCATCAGACAGTCATAGTGGGGACAGAGAGGAGGGAAGGAGTAAAAAATAAAACACATACAAGAGGTAAAATCAGCAGAGTAGGGTCACTGACGTGGGGAGATGGGTGAGGAACAAGAAGGAGTCTAGGATAATGCTCAGGTTTCTGGTGTTAGCAATTGATTAATTGATGGTGTTGTCATGCACGAGATCGTGAATATGAGGCAGGGAGGGGGTAGTTTTGATGAGGTGGATAATGAGTTTTGTTTAATCTGACAAGCCTGTGGTGAGACTAGGTCTTGGAAGATTAAGTCTGAGAAACAGTGGTTTACAGATGTTAATGCAAATGAAGATAGTACCTGTAGTCACCCTATGAGGGCTCATGGGGACACAAGGAGGGTAGGCCAAGAATGGAACCTGCAGATCTTGGCCACCTAAGAGATGGTCAGAGGAGGAAGGTGAATCTACAAAAGAGGGGTGAAGGAGAGCTGGAAAGAGTGGTGTCAAAAGTCAAGGGAATAGAGCGACATCAAGAAATGGGTAATCAGCTGTGTTCCAGGAGGTGAGGAATAAAAAGCTGAGTCGAGAATAGGAAAGTTCATTGGTGACTTCAGCATGTGTGGTTAGTGGAAGCATAAGTGCAATAAATAGGTATGGGAAGGGAGGCATTCTGATGAACCTGCATTAGGTAAAGAAATAAAAGGGATGTAAGGAGCTTCCTATAACCTCTACATCATATTCACCTGCCACATTAAGCAGTCTTAACTCTAGGCTTTGTTAAAGTGCATTTATCAGGGTACAGTGGATGTCGAAGGAAGCAGAGCCACCAGCCTCGCCTGAACATGGTTCTTTGCAAGTAGATGCAGAGGGTGAGGAACATGGAGGGGCATCGCCGCTCTTACAGCAGCTTAGCTATTTCAGAACCTCTGCTTTTAGGGGAAACTGAGGCATTGAATTAGATCTTAAAGTGTCATTCAAACCAGTGAGAAATATCCGGCAGTAGAGCTGGCCATTTGTCAGACACTGAACTTGCTCATGGTGTTTTCCTAAAGGCCAGCTGTCGGAGGTGGTGCCTGCTCTGGTCTGGTCTCTGACTCAGCTCCACAGGAAGCAGGGGCCTTTCTGTTGGCCCACTCACCCCCAAGGTGCCCACAACCAGCATAGCCACTTCCTCCTGTGATTTATTTACTCATAAGGCTGCATCACTAGATGTTGGCCTCCTCATTGACTCACCTACTTTCCTCTTGCAGCCAGTGGTCCCCAGCCAGCAGGAAATTGCTTTTTTCATTTTTCTTATCTTAGTACTTGTTGCCCATGCTCAAACCACTGACTTGGCTCTGTTTTTCCCAGCTGATTGAGGCAAGGTTAAAAATAAACAAACAAAAAAACCACTGCAAATGGGAACAACAAAAGTATGTGATAGGTTTGTGTGAGGATTAAGTAAATTAATATAGATTCTGGAAAACAGTGTCAGGCATGTGGAAATGCTATTATTATTGCTGTTATTATTTTAGAGGTTCCCATTCACAGGTTGAACAGAAGCAAGAGTTGAAGACTATCCTTTCAAGGAACTTAGCTCTAAAAACAGCCCAGAGCCAGAGGGGGCTCTCAAGGTCAAAAGGCATTATTTTTCAGGATAGGAAATAATTGGCCGTGGTTACAGGCTGATTATGGCTGATCATAAAAATCATTGTTGCAGGAGAGGCTGACATAAGAGAAAGAAATACTTATTATCAAACCTACACTTAAAACAACTGGAAATCGTTATTTCTTTGTCTTGGGAGAAATTTACAGTGCTCTCTGCTACTCGGGCCTTTCTCACTAGTGTCCATCTATTGGGAAGGGTCACAAGGCCTGGTGACCGAAGCCTCCTTCACTCGCCATGTGAGCCAGGTGAACTTGGCTGCGTTGGCTTCTCCTGGCGTTGTGCAAGTTGTTCTAATAAACAGAATCAGCAGCAGACAATTTTCCCCACCTGTCTCCACAACACCAACAGTGCTTTGAGTACTAGAGACATGCTGAATTAATTAATAACAGGAACATTCTACAGTCATTCACATGTAGAGGTAGAATGATTAAAATTGACTTTAGTTTCAGTTTGTTAGGAAGTTGGGCAGATGAGATCTATATGTCTGGTTCAATTTAGAATTATAGATATTTATGTCTTTTTCTAACTCATCTAATCCACCCTAAAATAGGTTATTCTACACTTCTTTGTACAGTACTTTTACCTAACTTCATTGATTTGATTTTCTTTTTAGAAATTTTACTAGCTTTCATAACACCAAAGGTACCACAGAATTTGAAACAATTTTTCTCAAGTATGTACTAAGAGTCAGACCCTAGAACTTGAAGTTGCTGTAGAGCACATGGCTTGTCCACCTGCTGCCCTGTGGATCTAATGGAGTTTGTTTTGGATAGAACATAATGTTAAAAAGGAAGACAGCTGGATCATCTTTGTTATTGAACTATGTTTTTTAAAAAAACAGGGTTTAATATTGGTTGTAATATCAGACATAAAAGACTAAAATCCTTTCAAGATGTTGTAGTATTGAAAGCATAGCATTAGAACAATGAGAAAGTTGAATCTAAATCATACTCTTTCCCAGGAAAAGGGGGGAAATGAAATTGGATGATGTAAAAGCAATACTGCTTTCAAGTGTGCTCTTATACTACTGGGATGTGGAAGCCAGGCAAGATTTGGAGCATTTTTATTATAATACACTTTAGAAGAAATCAAATCTATGAGCATTGTCCTGTGTTGATTCTTTGTGATGTGGGAAAGAAAACTAGGGCTAGAATGACCTGAAAATATGGAATGAAAGTGAAATTGTCCAAGTAGAATGATGACACAGTGCTTAATGAACATCTAAAATACAAGTGTTGAAACAGACCACCAGAAGAGCCTGCCCGTATTTGGAAGCCTGCACAAATGACGAAGCCTGTTTACTGTACTTGTATACGTAGCCAGCACTAGAGTCCTTGAACCTTGGAGAGCCCTATTTCTCCATTGATTGATAATTATCTGCAAATAGGCATGCTTTTTCACTGAGGTCACTTATACTCAGTATATTTCTGCATAGGCATCGTAGCTCATGCTCTGTACATATGCCTGGCCCTAGCCCCCATTTCCTTGTCCCAGTGTATGCCACGTGTGTCTTTATAGGAATCGAGTAGATTTTTTTAAAGGTATTCCTCAGAAAAGAAGGAATTGTCTTATATTTGAGTGTTTACAACATCTCTCACATTATAAGGCCCTCTCACAATTAATTTTTTTATTTTATCATTATTTTTCAATTGTGCAAAAATAGGTGGTACACATGCATAGGGTGAAAAACTCCCAGGGTACAGGAGAGCATTTAGAGAGAAGGTGAATTTCCCTCCTCTCTGTGTCTCCTGGTCACGCCGCGCCCCACCGTGGAGACGGCCAGTCACACACGCACCGCACACACTGGCACATCCTCGTAGCTCGGTGCTCAAGCAATTACACATCTTTCTCTTTTTCATTTAGCAACATATTTTAGAAGTAGTTTATATTTATTTAGAATGAAAATGTACCATTTGAGTAAGAAAAATTAATCCCAAAATACCTCCATCAATACTAGATTTGGATGTTTACATAGGGCATTATTTAATAAGATCAGTAATCAAAAAAGAGAAAGAGAAGTTGGGAAGGGTTTCAGATTTCATATGCCTTTTATTTATTTATTTATTTTTCTAATTTTCTTCCCTTTTATAGCTGAGTAGTATTTCATTGTGTAAATAAATCACAGCTTTTAAAAAAGATTTTATTTATTTATCTTTAGAGAGGAAGGGAAGGAGAAAAGGAGAGAGACATCAATGTATGGTTGCCTCTCATGAGTCCCCTGCTGGGAACTGGCCTGCAACCCAGGCATGTGCCCTAACTTGGAATTGAACTGCAATCATGTGGTTTGCAGGCCTGCGCTCAATCCACTGAGCTACACCAGCCAGGGCTCATATGCCTTTTAAACATCACCTTAGGAAACAATCCAATTCTGATTACTGCAATATGGTGGACTTGGTGTCTGGAGAAAACTAAAATTTCTGGGTAAAATATTTACAAACATCTTTGCAAACACATCTCAGCTGGCAGAAAAATGGGAGAAAACTTCCAAGTCAAGAAGTAATCAGAGAGCACAAGCACAGCAGTGTAAGGAGACACAAGAGCTGGCTGGCATTTGCTTTGGGAAGACCCTGTAAGTGCTAAGACCCAGGGCTTGTGTTTTAACAAGCGTGCGAGGGCTCGGAGGCCAAGCCAGGACCCACATTAGGTGGAGGGTTGGATCAGGGAATCTTACCTGGAGCTACAGCCTCCGAAAGGTGATACCCTCAATGAGTCAACTGGAAAAATCACAACTCTGGAGAGCCCTTATGGATGCTTCCCTGTCTCAGTCTTGATGTAGGTGCAAAACAGGCTATTTCCCTTGGAGAACTCAACCAGAAGCACATTCTCTTGCAGAACTGGTGTCAGAATTCACATTACTTGTTTGGCCTGAAACAGACCGAGTGTGAAGAGGTGTTGTGTTGTGGTCCCTGCAGCTGTTCCGCAGCCACACAGGCACAGCCTCTGCTCAGAGTGACTTTGAACCCAGCCCTCAGGAGTTCCCGCAGATAAAGGTTCAAGGAATATGAGCTCCTAGTCAAAAATCATACAAGTCAAAAATAAATAAGTCACCAAAGTCCAGACGAAGCACCAGACAATGGAATGAGGCCCCACAAAGACTACAGACATTGGATTTATTATATAAAGGATGTGAAAGAAGTATGTTATATATTTTAAGAAATAATAGAGTATAAAAAGTATTTTAGAGGAACAAGAAAATGATTTAGAAGATTTGACAAAGAAACAGAATTTCTATACAAAAAGAATAAGTAATAATTAAAATGTAAAAGGCTGCAAACTGGAATATAGATCTGAAGGACTTACCAAGAATGCGGATGGACAGACAAAGAAAGGCAACTATGTAAGAGAGGTTAGGAGACATAGAGAATGGAGTAAGAGATCTAACGAGCATCAAATCCAAGTTCCAGAAGTAGAGGATAAAAGGAATGGCCGAAAAGTAACACGGGAAGCAAGTGCTATAGGCATTTCATTAAGAGGTAACAAGAAAATGTACTGTGCATTGAAAAGATGTCAGACCTTGTTATTAATCAGAGAAATGCAAATTCTAATTGACAGGAGACCCTATTTCATGCCCCCCAAATTGGGGGGAAACTTGAAGCGTCTATAATCCTGTTTAAGTGAAAACAGGGAGCAGTGGAACTCTAGTAAACAGCAGACAGAAGTATAATTCAGTCCAATTATTTGGTTACTTAAAAATATTCTGTTGATAATAAAAACTATGAATGTAGAATAAATTGGCCAAGTTAAGTTTATTCAGCTCTTCATTCAATCAATATTTACTGAGCACCCATACTCAGGAATTCTCTTAGAATGAAAAAATCAGTCTTCGTTTGCTTGAAGGAGCTTAGGATCTAGTGGGAAAGATAATCAAAAATCACACAGATAAACACAAAACTATAACTGTAGAAGACAGGGATGTGTGAGGGCTCCTTAAGAGTGGGGATTAGCTGTGGAGGTCAGGGATGGCTTCCTGAGAGAACCATGTCTGTGCCGAGCGGAGAGAGAACAGAAGGTAAGTGAAAGGAGGTGGAGGTGGTGGTGGTGGCTGGGACAGTTGCTACTGAAAGAGGGACCCACATGTGCAAATGCCCTGATGTTGAAGGTAACATTTAGTTGCATGAACAGAAAAGAGGCACAGTGGCTGGAACAAAGAGGGAGGGACTGAGAGAGAATATAATGGAGGAGAGAGAGGCGCTGGCGATAACCAGACAGCTGTGGGTGGAGAGGTAGGCCTAAGCCAGACCAGGAAGGAAGGGCTTCGGGCAATGGGAAGGACTTTATACTAGGTCAATGGGAAGTTTTGAACATGTTTTTGAGCAGGTGACTGAAATGATCAATGGAATGAAGGGGAAAAATAAAAGAATAAGACCATCAATTAATTATAAATTTTAAAATTCCATTAGGACATGGAGTTAAAAAAAGTCTCTGTGACCACTCTTCCCTGCTCACTTAGGTGTGACTGTGCCAAGAATAGCTTCAATCCCAGTTCCCAACAGCAGCCAGGCACATCTGTGCCCTCACACTGCGATCTTGGCTCTGCCTCTGACTGGCCCACCAGGGCGGGTGGTACCCCCTGGTTGGGAAGTCTTCCCCCACCGCCTCAGCAATAGCAAGTGAGATTTAAGCCTCGTTGGTGATGCACTTGGTGATGGAGGGAGCAAAATTTAACACATTTACTGCTTTGCAGCTGAAGTAAGTGATTCCTCCATTGTTGAGAGTAAAAACCAATTTGCCAGTCAGTGAAGCAGATATGATTCAAAAGAAGCACAAGGACCCTGAGATGGATGACCTACTGTGTCTTCTCTGCTGGCGACTGAGTTCATTACAACACAGTGACCAGGAGCCAGGCTCTGTTCTGAAGCTCAGATAGCGCAGTGCACTATTCTACATTCTCTGTGCCTGTGGCCCTGTCTAGTTCCAGGTTCTTTATTTTCAACAACTTTATTGACAATTTGATAGACTTTTTGTTGTTTTTAAATTTATTTTTCAATTAAAGTTTATGTGCAATATTATATTAGTTTCAGGTGTACAACATAGTGATTAGATAGTTTATACCTTACAAAGTGATCGCCCCAATACAGTTTGGTAACTTTTGAGACACGTCTACACCCATGAAGCCGGTACCCCAGTTGAGATTACGACATACCCATCGACCACCAAATTTCTTTCTGCCCCTTCTTGCCCTGACCTTTTCCTCTTCCACCCCAAACAACTCAAGTTTAAGTTTAATCATTTTTAATCAAAATTCCTGTGGACCTGGTAGGTTGGAATACCTTCTTGAAGAGGCCCTTTCTGACCTGTATTCCAAAACACCGTAAATATCCACCATTTGGGTGAAGTCACTTTGTAGAATATAACCTATTTACTTCATTAGGAATTTTAAGTCTTTGGGAATACTATAGTTTTTCCCAAATCTCAGGATTTGAGAGTACCGTTGGGATGGAAAGGCCATGCATCTCCGGTCCTGTGGCGAACTAACCCCCCATCACTAATGCTCATGTCTACCTTCTAGATCTCAGTTGTGGCAGAGAGGAAGGAGCAGTCTCCACCAGGGGCACTTTTGTTCAGAGCATTGAACTTGTCCTCCAATCCCATGCAAACCATCATGGAAATACATTTGGTGGCCAGATTATGGCTTGGATGGAAACGGTGGCTACTATTTCTGCAAGGTTCTTGGTTTTAACTTCATGGCATGTAATTACGGGACCAGTGGGGTGAGTAGAAAGGGCTCGAGACCTAGTTATCGGGCGAATCAAGGAGACAAGGAGAGGACAGTGTTGTCTTTATCAAAATGAGAAAATTATAAGTCATTTACCTGTTTACCACAGGATTAAACTGTCCTTTCATTTGAAGATGAATCGTTAAGTTTTTAGTTAAAAAATAAAAATGAAATGACAGTTCTCATACTTTACTCTGAATTAGGAATGTTGATCTTGTGGCATTGCACCTCCTTGTGATGACAGTTGTGACAAAGTATCCATAGGTGCAGAATAGAAATAGAAGACAGCCTTCACACTGAAAATCCATCGTTATAAACATCTGAAAAGGCAAGTTACAGTTAGGTCTGACCTTCGAAGATTTGTTAGAGTCACTGTGGCCAAAGGATTAACTGAACGATAAGAGGAGAAAAGAAACAACTTGGAAAAATGCTTTTAAATGTGCCTCAGCTTCAAAAAGCTTATTGTATTCTTAGTAGAACACGTAGGTAATTGAGTAGCTTTAAAGAACACGTGTCCTCTGAAAATGCATTTGAACAAGATTTGCCCTTCTGACAATTTTTGTAACCACTGAAAACTGTTATGATTTTATTTCCCCAAAACTACAAGAATTTTATTAATGCACCTGTAGTTATAACTATAGTTAGAAGCCTGTAGTTATCCTCCCTATAAATTATGCACAAATAAAAGAGAGCTCGTTTTTTAAAATGAGATTGTCATTCTTAATGACAATAAAGCATTTGAACCTATTCTGTTGTAAAAGCCTACAACATAATTAACTATGGCAAAATCTCTTCACTGAGTGTTGGCAGGATTCTTTAGAGTAATTGAAAGACTACAGTGGGAATCTAATATGTAGAAAACAGTGGAAGGAGCTTTCTGAGATTAAATACTCTTTATAGATATTTCCAAGTTCACACATGCAAAAATTGTAAAGCGTGTACCTGTAGCCTTGCAGGCTCTGTGCAGCAGTCTAGGTGATGTCTCCACAAGGGAAAGTGAGCCCTTTGCTGTGTGGGTGCGTCACGTAACTGATAAGCTCAGGGCCTGGTGTGAATGGCAGCAGCTGGTGGCGCTCTTCACGGGTCCCCCTCCACCCTGGGAGTCACCGCTCCCCATGATTGTAGTCATGAGCTGCCTGCTGGGATGAACATAACCCTCAAATTAGAAAGAAAGACATAGTTTTTCAGAGGGACCCCCATGGGGAACAAAACAAGGGCAGGACTGTCACCCAGGAGCAGAAGCACCAGCATCTTGGTAAAGACCCCTCAGCTTGGGGACATGGTATTTCCTCAAATATTTGCAGGTGGTGTACAGAACCACTCCCAACTCGCACGATCCAGCCATTTCCTTCCCTAGAGTTAAAAGATGCTCACTTACAAAACACCTTGAACACTGGTCTTTTGTGCCTGTTAAGCAAATCAGCATTTCCTGAAAGAAATTTTGGAGGATGACCCATTTCTTGTCTCATTCCTTCTCTTTGTTTTCTCAGCCATCTCTGTCAAGCTTCTGAAGTCTGTGGACATGTTTAAGTTCCAAGGACCATCCACCATCGGAGATCACCTCGTCTTCAATGCCATTGTCAACAATACATTTCAGACCTGGTAAAGTGTGTCTAGTGCTCTCACACAGCTATAAACAAATTCAGACTTGCTCATAACATGTTTTTAAATTTTTATTTCAATCTGGAGGAGAATAAAGGAACTATTTTAAAGTAACCAAGGTGCTTCTATTTTTTTTTAAATTTCACTCAATCTTCAGAATTCATAGTCATACATTTTAACCCTGGATTCTGCTTCAGGCCTCCATGTACTGAGTAAATTATGATAGATTGGGTTTTGTCTCTCAATAGAAGGGTGACTGCATGTCCCAGTTGACCCAGGATGGTCCTGGTTTATACCTGTTGTAAGAACTTTTCTTTTCATTCTCAAAAGGGTCCCAGTGATGCTGTGGTCACCAGTTCATAATGGACCTGTCATTTAGCACCATGAAGTTCAAGCCACTTTCTAGTTATTTTTATTACTCTTGATAATGCAATGAAAATATCTGCTTTAGTATTTTTTCTTTTTAAATGAGAAAAAGAACTCAAGAATATCTGTATTTCCTGTCCACTTTTGGAGTTTGATATTTTTAAATTACAGAACTGTTTTGAGGGGAGAAAACTTGACTTTGGCACAATATAAACTCCTCTCATTACCAAAACGTGTCCACGAATACACACATGTAAAATCACAACTGGCCCTTTTCCCACTTGAAATTGGGGAAGTAAAGCAAAAAAGTTTGCACATCAGATCTATAGACCTGGAAAAATGGGTTTTAACAGTTGCATAGATTTGCAGATGACAAAGGAAAAACCCAGGACCCTCCTTCTCTTCTTTGTTTGGCGGAGAAGGTGGTGGTGGTGGGCAGAGAAAGCCCAGCCTGCCCCCTTCTCTGTCCACCGCCCTGTGTCGCCCTCTGCAGTGTCAAAGTGGGAGTGACTGTGGAGGCCTCTGACTGCCAGGAGTGGTCTGAGGGCTGGGGCCCTCACATCAACAGTGCTTTTCTCATTTATAATGCTGTGGATGATAGAGAAAAACCAGTCACATTTCCCAGAATCAAACCAGTGTCAAAGGTAAGTGATTAGCAGAACAGACTTGTTCTTTTTGACTAAATCATTCCAGTCGTTTGTTGACATGATGGTGTCACCGGACCTTAAGTGCCAGCTCCTTGAGTCTCAGTGTCATAGAAATGAGCACTGAACTCAATACAACATCAGGCAGGTAGAGTTTATTGAAAAGAGCTTGTGCACAAGGGAGTTGACCAGAAAAAAGAAGCCAAACTCCCAGAAGGGTTCCTGTGGTTGGCTTACACAAGGGCCTCGGGGTGGGGAAGGGCTCGGGAATGAGGACAAGGTCAGCGTCCCATGATGGTCAGCACTGACAGATGTTTTCCTTCAGCAGTGGATCATCCAAAGGGCCTAGAAATAATGCCTTCACAAATATTCCAGTTACCATATACTTCCCAGGACAACTATTTTGCAGAATATGATAGTAAGAAAGGATGTTATCATTGTACATTCTTCCCTTTAATGATGTGATTAGGTTCATTTAAACTACAGAATTTTACTGAGAGCAAGGAGCCATAGTCAGGCCTCCAAGATGGATTTCTTTCAGTCAAGATGGAGTCCAGACATTTCCCTTCCACTGTCTCAGTGGGGCCCTGAAGACCTCACCTCGGCCGGGCCATGTGCTGCTGTTAGAAGTGCAGTCTCTTCCCCGCCCATTTCTGACTCTCCCACCTTACAGCCTGTTCTCTGTGCTGCTCCACATGCACCCAACTACTGCCACCTCTCACCTGAGGAGCGTCCACGCAGAGACACCAGGTCCCCTTCAGCCTTTTCAGCTGGCTTAGGAGAGGGAGAGACTTAAGATTATAGTACTGAAATATTAGAAATTTATTGGCTTTACTTTGTTTCTTATTTAAAGGATGATTTCAGATGGTATCATGGAGCTATTGCACGCAAGAGAAGTCGCCTAGGCAGGTAAAAGACCTAGGTATAAGATTTTATGGTGCAAGATCTTACCCCACAAATTAAGTAACAAAAAGTTGCTCTCTGGGTCTCTATTCCCAGGTAATGTAAGAAGAGAAGGTCTGAGGTTTTCTACGGTGCTGCAAATTCTTCTTCCTGATTGTTCCACCAGCAAAAGCAGCTTTCAAAACTGCTGATTTCAGTTCAAGACAGTGTCATAGTTACTGTTGTGTGCAAAATGCAGGGAAGAAAACTGTTATTTAACATTTTAATTTTTTTCCAGAAAGTATGTTATTTCCCACAATGAAGAGGTTCCACTCTGCGTACCCTGGGACATTAGCAACCAGGTGATGGTTTTATCATTTGGAGTTCTCCATGCAAAAATCACATCATGACACCAATGAACATTCCCTTGTTCCACTGATTCAGGTTGTGCCATGCAGGTTAGATGAAAAGGTGACTTACAGCAACCACTCACTCAAAATGAAACAAAAACAAACTACCAGTAACTGGTTACCCCTTGCTTTAGTTATGGATACAGTTCCCAAGTTACAGACTCGGGGTTCTCTGCCTCAGAGGTATTTCATGGGATACTGAGATCTGGTGTCTTAGCATGATTTTTGCTGACTAACGTGCCTACCAGTTTGCATTTTTATAGCCCAACAACAAAGTATTGGTTGTTTTCATGTTTTTGGCCATAAAATATAAATGGAAATCCAAGTTTACTTATAAGATATACTTCTAAGGGCAATCTTGTCTTTGCTCAGGACACCAGTTAAAATGATACTAATTTGCTAAGCATACAGGCCTCACTTTACCTTGTCTGAATTCTGAATTAAGAGTTTCAGGCAGAAATTTTTACTTGTAGCATAGTTCTGAGCTCAGCATTGTGGCTTTGCCTCTGACAGTGCCCATTTTCTAAACAGAAAATACTTGATCACATATCTGTGTGTTGAACTCACAGCATTTTAAATATTTGCATTTTAGGAATCCTTGAGTAATGGCAACGTGGAGGATTTCAAAAAACTGGTGGCCAAAAGTGGCCGGGAGGTTACCAGTGCTCTGGAAAAGGTAGGAGGCACCCAGGTGTATGCACAGACAACTCACAGTTCTTCACAAACAAAAACTGTCAGATGAAGGATTCTAAAAATATTCATCTGAAACCTACATAGTTTCATTAACCAATGTCACCCAAGAAATTCAGTTAAAAAGTTAAAAAAGTTTTTTTCTGGTGCTGGAGGTTCTGCTTGTACCACACTGCTTTTAAGGAGGTACAAAAAAAAAAATCTTTGGGGAAAACTATTTCTGAAAGCCACGCCTCTTTCCAGCCCTGCCTCTGCTTCTCCTGGCTGGCCGGTTTGGGGCCCTTCAGATAGGCCCTGCAACCTCTCACTTCTCATTTCCCACCCTTCTCCTCTCCACACTCTCAGATCTTACCTGGTCTTCAAGATCCAGGACAAATGCTTCTCCGTAAAGCCGCTCCTGTCACTCCTGATTGAAGGATCTTTCTGGGAACTCCTTTAGCAATTCTTGAAAATTAATTTGTCAATTAATTATGCACTATCTCGTGATGTTTCTTCCACAGATTCATTGAATTGATGAAAGTCTTAATAGGAACAGAACTTTTTACACATGGTCTTTTCCCCTAACTAGATTATAAACATTTTAAGAAAGAAGACTGCCTTCTTGGTATCTCTTTTAACACCTTTCGCCTTGTTTTTTATGTCATCAAATTTTAATAAACACGTGTCGTTTGGAATTTAATTTTATCTAGCTTCAGAAGTATCTCAGGAGACGCTTTGAAGGGGATGCCCACACTGACCAGTCTGTGAGCGCTGGGGGCCGTTTCTCTCTTCACTGTCTTCCCAGGTCATAGCAGGCTGGTGCTCGGGAGATGCTCAGTAATGCCCCCTTTTGTGCTCACGTTTCTGAGGGCGCAGTTTTCCTCATCAGTGCAGCAGTAGCCTCTAAAAATGCATGACTCTGTTCCAGTTTTCCAGTTTTCTCTCCGTGGAGAGAGTGGAAGTAGATGGCTGGAGGGGCAAGGGGAGCTTTCTAGGCAGACAGTAGCTTGAGCCAGATCTTCCTGGTGGACAGCAGCATGGGTAGGAGACTGGCTGGACCGGAGCAGCTTTTTATTTAGGCATAGCTGAGGGTGAACTAGAAGAATTACAGTGAAAGTCAGAAAGGCAGGGGCCACTTGAAAACCTTTACACAGGACAAAAGCCACTGCAGCAAGGAGGGCAGAGGGAGCTGTTCTCATTGTTCTCTGTTCCCCAGAGGGAGGCTGGGGGGGGGGGGTCCCCGGACACAGAGCTACACCGGACCAGGTCTCCGCCCCTTGCCCCCAGGTCAGTCCCCAGGCACCTCCAAGGAAAGTCAGCCACGCCCTTCCCAGGCCTCTGTAAAAACTAGTTTTGTCCTCACAATGTTGTCTCCACAACATATTTGTCAACAGATACTGTAAAATGCTAAAAATTTGATTTAGGTCCACTAGTGCTATTTACATAAGACATCCAACTCATTAAATAGAATCTTACTCATATGAAAGAAAATATCATGAATAAAATGTTAGCAGGTTCCAGCAGATTTTGAGCCTACTCACTTTAAATTTCATTTTATAAAATAAAATTCTTCAGGTACCAAATGGTAAAATGTTTGAGTTGGTTACACATGGAATGTAACCTGTAGTATTCTGAGCATGAAAGGGAACTTGTTTCCTTGGAGAGCTGGTCTTGGAGGATTTTCTCACTAAGCAAAAGTTGGCCTTTCTGAAATGGTAGGGTTTCACGGGAGCCAACATCAACCACTGCCTCCCCTTGTCTGCCTCATCTGCTTCAAGGCTGTTGACTCTGACAGGGAAGCAGTGAGAGGACTTTCTGCTACTTTCACCTTCTGGGGGAAGGGTTAAAGTATCATTCACTCATGCAAACTGTACTCAGTACTCACTGGGTAAGTCCGGAGAGATCCGTAAGGGCGAGATGTAAGGGTTGGGGACTGAGGAGCCTGACGTTTGCTTTGGCTCCAGCAGGGGAAGCAGCAGCATTGTATCTGCGCCCGGGGAGCAGCTTCCTGGGAAGGTGCTGTGGTAGTTCCCCAGAACTGCTATAACGTTTCCCAGAGCCTGGGTGCTGAGCCGACAGAAATGTATGGGCTCCCAGGGATGAAAGCTAGAAGTCTACGATGAAGGTGTGGGCAGGGTTGACTCCTTCTGAAGGAGTGAGGGAGGATCTGTCCCAGGCCTCTCCCCTAGCTTGCAGGCGATCTTTGGCGTTCCTTGGCTGTAGAAGCATCACCAGATGTCCGTCTTCCTCTTTGTGCAGTGTTCTCCCGGTGTGCATGCCGGTGTGCAGATTTCCCCTTTTCATAAGGACATAGGTCATACGGAATCATCTCTAATGGCCTGTTTCCAAATGAGGTCACATTCTGAGGTCCTGGGGTAAGGATTTTAAGATATGAATTTGGGGAGGACACACTTCAACCGTTAAGGGCTCAGCCCAGGCCAGGCTCTGCTAAGGTTGTGCAATTTGGGCACCTGCCTCACCTCCTCAGAGGCTGCAGAGCCCCTGGCCACATGGCCACCAGGCTTTGATAAGGTGACTTCACTCTGGATTTACACCGGTGAACCTCCTTCTACTCCTGCAGTACAAGGGGCAAAGTTAGACATGCCCGTGCTGGGTGAGTCCCAGCCACCAGCTGGAGCCCTGGCCACAGTTCTCGTTCTGTTCGGTGGGTGCCCAGAGCTGACACCATGTCCCTTGCGGGCTCTATTGAAAGGCAGACTCGGCACCGTGTTCAGTGGGAGAAGTAAAACGGCATAAGCAAATAGTTGCTTCTTTCCTTTCTAAGCCACTATCTGTCACTTTCTCATTTCTTCATTCTCTTCCTGAAGGTATGTATGTTTAAATAAAGGTTTTCTCCCACACAGCCTGGTGTTTCCATCTGCTTGATTCCCACAGTGAAGTCTTAACCCTGCGTTTGTTTGTCTTCTCACAGCTTGTCGTCATGGGAATTATTAGAATATAGCAAAACTCAACATTAACTTCAAAACACCCTAAAAGAGATGGAGATTTAAAATGGGCAGGACAGAAATGTGCTCTTAGCAAAACACATACCTCTGCTTGTTGGCAAAAGCACAGTAGAAAGAGAGTTCAGAGTGTCAAGGGATCCATTCATGTTTCGGCATATGCCAAATGGCTCCCCCAGACAGGGCTCCTCTTATCCAGGGAGTAATGACCATTCAAAAGAAAGCCAGGAACTGGCCAGCTGGTAGGACGAGCCCTGGAATCACAAGGAAAGAATGCTCTGTGCTGCAGACACGTGGTGCTCCAGTGACCCACCGAGAGGTTCAGTTGGTTTAGAGGTGGTCATCTTACTTCCTGGGGTCACCTCTGCCCCCTTGAAGACACAGCTGACATCTTGGCAAAGTGGCCGAGGCTGTAGCCTTGGCTCCAAGGTCTTAGGGGGAAGATGAGGCTCAGCAGTCTGAGGATTATTTTCTTTTGTTCCTGAATAGAGGCAGGGAAACATCACAAAGAGATCAACAGATAAAGGCTGCTTTTTTTTTTCCACGAGAAAAACTATTGCACAATAATTAAATAACCCACCTTCAAGTCATATATTGTTTACAGGACACAGGAATGCCCTCTGGTCAGAGTGCTCTCTGGTGCCATCCTGGCCAGAGCTCTAGACGCCCAAGTATCTGAAGTGAAATTGCCGTCATTGTGACCTGGGTGCCGAGATGCCTTAGCTAGGGCCATCAGCCTGTGTCTCTGTACGTGTGTCTGTGAAAGTGATGTTTTTAAGTGAAAACATCACTTTAATTTTTGTAATGTATTTATTTGTTTGTTCTTATCTTTTAGATAAATATACATACTCTGGAAGAACATGATATTTTGTCAGTTTGGGTTGAAAAGCAAGAAGAAAAACCAGCACACTTGGCTTGTCATCTCTTGTCTGACTTTACCAAGAGAACTTTGTGGGACCCCCCATTATGTGTAAAAATAAATTTAAATTTTCTTAAGCCACCCTAATGTCATGGGAAAGATGACCTCCACATTGCTCAACTTGCAACCTCTTGTTTTATTAACTAAAGTGTATTTTTAAAGCTTTCTCTACACAGAAAAATGCATCAAGTGCTATTGAATGACAAAAAAGTACTATAATAACTTATTTATTGTCCATATATTGAGTGCATGCTTTACCGACATCTATTGTAATCCTACCCATAACTATTTTCATTGAACAAGAATGGTTACCAAGACTGATGGCAATGAAGCGACAGAACCCAAATTGGAGCCCAGGTCCATCAGGCTCTGAGTTCCACACTCTTGTAACTGAACACACAGTCTCATTGCTCTTGAGGAAATGATTATTGAATTGTACTTGTCATTTCTCACTCTTGATATTTAATTGGTGGCTTCTTTTCTTTTCAGTAAAAGAGCATTCCCTGGTGAGAAGCTGGGCGGAGGCCGTGTGAGTTCTGAGGTGAAAGGCACTCCTTGCTGCTCTCCTTGTCTGATCAGAGGCCCCTCCTGTCAGCCTACATCTCTTACCTCTGTCTCCTGCATCCCTGGTTCAGTCTCCCCGACTCTTCCTCCTTTCCTGGACTATGCGGCTGTGCGCCTCATCACAGGGACTGACTGCTCTCGCGCTGCACCACCTTCTCCAAGGAGTTCCAGCTCCTGGGTGCACTGAGCACTTCTAGGACACCTCACTGAAAGGGGAGGATTGGAGAGGTGGGCTTCCTGTTATAGTCAGCGTTACTTTTACTTCCTAATGTTGAGGAGGTAGAGGTTCAACTTAAAAATGACTAAACCTCATTATGATTCATACCATGTAATACATTTAATACCACAAAAGTAAAACACCACTGGCTTTCATTTGCATGGATGCCAGAATGATACAATGTGGTTAATGCTATTATAATAAAACACTCCAAATGAAGAGGAAATACTTCATGATTTTCTTGCATCAGTAATTTGTAGATAATCTATAAGTACAAAGCTTTTAGTAAGAACAATGCCTAAACTGTGGTGGTAATTCTTTTCAAATGTTTCTCCCACTATTTTCTATTTTGCCTGACGTTGTAGCCAAATTGAACTTGAATGAATGGAGGAATGAATGCATGAATTTTATTCCAGCTTACTTTTCTTATGCACCTACTACAATTCAAGTACTATGCCAGGTGTTTTCATTTAATCTTCACAATAACCCCATAGATATTATTATCTACACTTTATAATGAAAAAAAGGAGAAAGTGACTTGCCTAACACAGCATAGCTCCTGAGTGGCAATCTGGGATTGAAAGGCTCCAAACTTTCAATTTGTTTGACTTTCAAGTTGTTTGACTCCAAACTTAGTGCTCTTTCTAATATACCATGTTCCTTTACGTAAGAGTTCTTCTTGGACTGCCCATATAATTCACTAGTATTTACATATTATTACTCAGTCTTATGAAAAATTAATTTTGTAGAAAACAGCTAAATGCTTTTCTCTGAAGTGTTGAAGCCAGTGAGCTCAGTCAGGTGGTCACCGTTCTCACCGTCACATGCAGAATTATTTCTTCTGACCAAATGGCTTTCTAAAGACGGACTTTGGGAAATGACATTGGATTTGGAGGGATGGTTTTGTGGACAGAAGGGTGAATGTAGACAGCAACAAAAAAGTTATACAAACAAACAGAGGAAGTGAATGCCTTATTCTATTAGGCATAAAAATACAGCCTTTCTTTCACTGTTCTGTTCACATAGGTCCTGTAAAGTCATGGATTGGGTGAGTGAAGACGATCCAGATATATTACATTACTTGTCCTACAGTGAATGGTGACAAACCTAAAGACTTGGTTGTACTTGTATCACGAATAAGGCCTCTGAAAGATAGGTGAGTAAATGAAGTCAAGTGTTATGGCAATGTTTTATAGTGTAGAGTAGAAAGAAAAAGTTGAAATGAAAATAAGGAAATCAATGCAAGCATTTCTGGTCTTGAATGATATTCATCTGAAATTTTTCTAAGTGTACCTTATAGTTATCCCTAAAAAAAACCCTCAAAACGATTGTACATTAAGATTCCTAAAGCATTCCCTTTCCTTCTTCTCCATTCAGATGTAGAACTGATATTTAACAAACATTTGAAACAATCCACTTTCAGTAAAAATGTAGTAAAAGCCAAATGAAATATCAGGAATTGGTTTAGGATTCATGAAGGCCGGATTGTGCTAGACATCCCAAATGGCAGCTGCTTGTGGGGCTGCCAGTCAGCATTTGCCCAGGCTTCTCCTACATGAGCATTGGACTTCACCGAGCAGTGTCTAGGTTCCAAGGAGAAAGGTCCCAAGATCAAGTGTTCAAAGAGACAAAAAGTGGAAGCTGACAGCTGGAACTGGCCAGCATCTTTTCTGATGTCAAAGCTGGCCTGTACAAATAACCCCACAAATGTATAAATACTGGTGTTCATGGGTGTTTGGTGTAGTATCATTTATTATAAAAAATCTAGAAATAAATCAAAGCTCCATCTTATAAATTATGGAACCATGCTATGGAGTACCGTCCCAGAATTAAAAAGGATAAAGTAACAATAAAGGCACCTCCAAAGATTTATTGTTAGGTGAAAAATGAAATTATAGACCAATAATTATTAAATGATTATATGATTTATGTAAATCTCATGCACTTATAGAAAGGTCTGGAGCGACGCACACCACAATGTTAAGTGATCATCTCTAGAATGGGGTGCAGTGTGACCAGGGGGAACTGAAGGAAAACTCCTAGATTCTAGTCTGTAAGGTTCCCTATTATTTGGAGTTTTTCTAAACAATGGGTATTACTTTTTTATTTTAAAAAAGAGTAAAATTACAACCCATTAGGGCACAGTAAAACCAATTTGGAGACTGACTCCAGCTTTGTGGAATTCTGCACAGTAGAAATAATTCTTAGGCAGAAAAACACATGTGGCCCTTATTACTATCACTGTGGCTTGAATGTAGCCGTAGACAATGTCTTTGGATAAATTCCTAACTACAGGAATCTGCTTTCTAATAACCACTCTTCATTTCTTTCAGTAACACTTACATGGTGGCAGTGAAGTCCGTCGTCCTGCCATCCGTCCCACCCTCTCCGCAGTACATCAGAAGTGAAATCACATGTGCCGGGTTTCTCATCCATGCTACTGACAGCAGTTCCTGCACTGTAAGTTTGATGGAACATCTACAGATGTGAGAAATCACTCACTCATATTTCCTAATTAATTTGAATTTTGCAATGTGGGTCCACACCAGGGGAATCCTAAGGTCATCCTTTCCAATCCATCCCAGAAGGTCCCCAGATTCCCCTATTCCAATAAGATTCAGTTCTCTACTGGAAAAAGCTCATGTCAATAAGAAGTTGAAATATTGTATTTTCTTTCTGAAACAGGTATCTGATTTTAACCAGATTTCTGCTAGCATCTTGCCTTACTTTGCTGGAAATCTTGGTGGCTGGTCAAAATCCATTGAAGAGACAGCAGTTTCCTGCATACGATTCATAGAGAATGCTGCTGCTGATGGGTCAGTAAGCATATTTTAAGTGGTAAACTGCATATTTTAACTGTTAAACTTTCAATGTTCTGTAATTGATTTCTCACTTTTGATTCCAAGCACCCTTATCTCTGCTTGGATAAGGTGATTAGTGTCACCTTATTCTTGACACTTGGCAAGCTTTTGGGCCACTAAATAATTTAATATTGGCCTAGGCAAAATGCAGTTAGGAAAAGGTTAACAAGATACATCTCAAGTCAAACGCCATTGATTTGGATGAGCATTAAATGAGCTTGAAGACTGTTTTAGGTGGTCCAGGGCTCCACTCCCTTCCAGGAGCATGGGCATTAGGAAACTGCACCCACACAATCGCAATGTTGTGTGTTCTTTAAAATGGTACAAATGTGGTTAACATGATCATAAACATTTGAGGCTACAGAGACGAAATGGGTTGTTTGAAATTTTATATCAGAAATGACAAGCTGGCTAGCTGATGGGTAGTGTGGGGCTGCTCCATGTTCAGCAGGTATCTGTATGCCAGAAGCATCTCACAAGATATATTACCTGTTTTAGAGCTTTAAATTAGGGAAGCATTAAAACATAATGGGAGCCAATCAATTTTAGTAATAGGAACTACTTTACTAGTGTCATTTAACATATATTCAAGGTGGCTCACCAATTTAGCATCTGTTGCTATATATACACATAAAAAGTACCTGCAAGATGTGTTATTGCAGAGAAAGAGAGTATTAACTGAGCTCTTCTTTCATAACCATTACATTAGCACTTTATTCCCTAGGCTTCGACGTTCATTATTCTTCTCTGTGCTTTGCCTTACCTCGTAAGATGAACCAGCATATAAGTCAGCTTCCGCTACAGGATAACTTTTAAAAGTTGAAAGACTTCTTTGTTAGAGTTTAAAGCACTTGAAAGGTTACATACATCCTGCTGTTCATTTGTCAAATCTCTACTTCTGCTCAGCAAATCTTACAGCGCTATATGAAAAATAGAGTCAGTGTCTGAGCCCTCCCAATCAACTCCACCCCTGCAGCTCTAACCCAAACACCAGCTTCTCTTACCTGGGCTATAAGCTTTCAGTTTCTGTTATTGCTTCTCCATTCAGGCCACTCTCAACCTAGCAGTTGGATGTCATACTTTTTCACAAACCCATGAATAATTTTGCATATCATAGTAAAATCCAGTACTTTTTAATGGTCACCAAGGCTCTGTGCATATATTAGATTGTTTTTCAGAAATATTATTCACTTCCTCACCACCATCCCCACCTCCATGAATGGAATGTACTATCCTACTTCCTGTCTTCTTGACCCTGTGACTCATTCATGGAACGTTAGCAGACACTGCAAACGAAAGGCTGAAAAGTGAAGTTGCTCTCATAGAGCTCTGCCACTGTCATGAGAAAGACATGTCAGCGCTAGTCTGCTGGCCCCAGGACAAGGAAGAGAGACATGAAACAGAGTTGCTTCACCTGAGCCTAGCGTAGACCAACCAACCCCAAACCAAACTTCACACAGGTGTGGGCAAGTCCCACCGAGATTAGCAGAACAGTCTAGGTAAGCACAGTCTGGATTTGACTCACAGGCGTAAGGCGTGAGCCTTATAAGTAAAGGTTTATTCTGAGATTCTGTGGTTGCTACACAGCAGAAGCTAACAGGTAGAGCCTATAAACTATGATCCCTATGAACTAGATGAACTTTTCCTACTAGTTCATCCCTCTCTCTTTTCCAGTCATGTTGGCCTCTTTGCTGTTTTCCAACTTACCCAGATATACTCCTTCCTCAGTATAATTACATTTATCTATCACCTCACATCAAGACATCCAAGGTTTACTGCCTATGTTCCTCCCTGTATATCTGTACCATGGAGTATTATGGATGAAGCTCGAAAATACTGTTAAGTGAAGGAAGCCAGTCACAAAGGAACACATCTTTCTGCCCCTAAAATATGAAAGCCTCTTCCCTATTTAGGAGCTTTGACTATTCCGTTCCTAAATGCTCTTCCTTGTTATCTTCACAACCAGTTCTTTCTTGTCACTCTTATTCCAGCAGAACCCACCCCCCACCCAGAGGCCTTCCCGTGATTGTAGATACACGGGTCATTCACAACACCTCTCTGTTAACTCCTTTTATATCACTTACTCGGGTAATTCGCTCAACCCAAGTGGAAACTTCTACAGGCTGAGTACTCCCTGGGACAACTATAGTAACGAGCAAGTCAAAATCCCTGCCCTGATGTAACCTGTAATCTGGTGGAAAGGGGACAACTAGTGTTAGGTAGGGGGTATAAATTATTGAGAAAATTTGAGAATAAGAGAATAAAAAGTTGTTGGGACGAGGAAGGAGCTACTTTCTGTAAGGCTGGTCATAGAGACACTGGCAAGCTGACTAAAGCAGAGGCCTGAAGGAAATACGGGAGGGTTGACTATGGGGTTGGAAGTGGGGATGTCAAGGAAACAGCAAGTTGAGATCCAAGCCTAGTGGCTTGGAAGGCAACCGTAGGAAAAAAAAGTGAAGGGAAATTAGTCTTTTGGGTTTGTCTCCCCCACCACCCAGAGGGAAGGGACAAGATTGTTTAAAGCCATATTGAGTTTGAGGTGTTAAGTGTAACATCCCAGTAGGAAGGTCCAGCAGGCAGGCGAGAACATGGGACTGAAAGGAAGGGTATTAGGGCTGGATGTAGATTAAGGAGTCAGCCACGGAAAAGGGAAGATAGGTTAAGAGATGTGTTCGGAGGACTGAAGAGTGCTTTTCACTAAGTCTTTCAAGAAAATATTTTTAAAATGTAATAGAACATTTTTCCATTTTCTGATATATTTTTTAAAATATTTTATTTACTTTAGAGGGGAAGGGAGGGAGAGGGAGAGAAACATCAGTGTGTGGTTGCCTCTCACATGTTCCCCATTGGAGACCTGGCCCACAACTCAGGCCTGTGCCCCAACCAGATACCCAACTAGCAACCCCTTGGTTTGCAGGCCACTCAGTCCACTGAGCCACACCAGCCAGGACTCTGATATGCATTTTTTCCCCTATGCCTCCACTCCACTCTTCAGCCCCATTAAAGTGCATATGACCTTGCTTGTCTGATTCACTGCCACAATCCCATGTGCCTAAGTATTAGGAGCATAGTATGTTTTGGGGAAATAATACAGAATAAATTAAGTTTGTCTTCCTCCTTAGGCCTTTTTAGCTAAGAAAATAAACATCATTTCTTTTAAGAAATACATTCTCTCAGGATGTCAATTTATCTGAATTCCTCTGACGGTGTCCATACACTTTTTTAATGTTACATTTGGTACCTGCAGTTTATTTCTAATGATCACACTAATTTATTGAATATTAAAACGATGAACAAAGTAACCCAAGAAAAACAAAATGGACACTAACTCCTCTGTGGAAGACTGTATGAAAAACATTAGACCTGCAGCTGACGGGTTTTTGACTCCCCAGAGCCTTTCTGCTCCTGAGAGGACCAGTGGAACAAATGAGGCGTTTGGACTAAACGACTACAGAGCACTGCTGTCCTTTTCCAGCCATGTAGCTTGTGCAATTCCCGTAAAGGCACCCACTTCCTTGGCTTTGGGATGTTGAGCCACATCCTGCCATGTTTTCCTGTCTCACTGAAAATGAAAGAACAGCTCCTAGTAAGACTAGAATTGTTCAGTTGTGCAGATATTTAAAAAAAAGAGTGTTTCTTTTCATATTTGGTAAATATTGTGCTTTTTAAGCTTCAGTAACTAATCACAGCTGTTTCCTTTAGTTACAAATATATCCAATCAGGTAAAATTCCAAATGAAATACACAATCCACTAGTCATTCCATTATCCAGTACAATGGGAGCCTTAAGCCTGTGAAATATATGTATTAAGTCTGCATGTATTCATCACATCAAAGAAGATAATGGGTCCCTGATCAGTGTTCTAACTCTGTTACAGCGGTACCTGCATCTCACCCTGACTCCAAAACATAGAAACAAATGCTATTATGTGTGATGTACACTTTGCTACGTGCCATCACTCTGGTTAAATACCTCAGACTGAATTTTGGCTGGAATTTCTTTCTTGAAAATCAAGGACAGAGAAAGAGCTCTTCAATTTTAACCTGAAAAATACTCATGTGTGATTCTTTATGTGAAAACTGAAACAAAAATTAACCCAAATTAACCAAAGAGACTGTTAATGGAAAAGGGCTAGTTAAATCCAGAATCAGTTATTCAGTAAAATAGCAAATTTTTATTAAATATTATAAAAATACAGCAGATTTTGTGGCAACTTATAAATAAATTTGATACTTTGAACCTAAAAAACAATATAACTAAAAATTCATTCCCAAATGCAGAGCAGTTACCCTTTGTTTAGGAGTGGTTCAGATGAGGGCATAATTTCGTTTTTAAGGAAAATGATTGTTACAATTAGCTCCGTAACCACTTACATACACCTAAGTTCCATCTGTTAAAAATTTTCTTTAAAAGAATCCAATTTAAACATCTTATGCTTTCCTTCGGTGACTTTCTCCACGCAGCATGCAAACTCCTTGGTGGACAGGACTCAGGAAACTGAACATCCAGACCATTCTGAAATCTACAACATAGGCCTCTCCACGGGAGCCCGGCTCCAACTTCTGATGAAGGCCCAGTTCAGAATGTAACGAGGCGGTAATTTATGATAGTACTAATCATTATCAAAAATTAACAACTTTAGGTATTTTTGCTTGGGGTTTCTGTGGTTTAGGCACATCCAAAATTTCTTCATAGTCCGCACTCATTCCCTTTGCCCAGCGACCAACTGTAACCATTCGATCTGTACAGGAACAGAAAAGTCAGAATGTAAGAAAAACCATAATCAAATACATCCACCTAGGTTGGTTTTGATTTAGCAAAGGAACTGGTTTTGACATGAATAATCACAAGGAGGGAATACTCCATCACTAAAGGAAAGTGAGCAATTCTATAATTGATTATAATCCTTGATTTCCGAGTACTACAGGCAATTTCTCATCCCAATTAGGGAAATGCAGCAATTGCTTTGCAATGCACAAATTGATGAGAAAGCGCTTTCATTCTTTCCCAGAGTTCATCATTACAGAGTCAATGAATTCCAAGAGTCTGTAAACAGCAAGACTTATGAAGCATCACTTTTAAATGCACAAGATTCCACCTGTGAAATTATACAACATCTGCTTGTCAGTCTTGTCATTTGGGAAGTGGCAATCCTCCCAGGAGGGAGAATTCAAATTCCTCTTCATCATTTCAATCTTACGGCCTACAGTGTAGTAAAGACTAACTTCTAGACAAGATTATAAACAAGAACTCTTGGTTTTCAAATTTAAATGTTAGATGCAGGATGTAAAAATGGGCAAACTTACTTGTATAGCACTGTGACTATTTGAAATAAAAAGAAATGTGGTCCCCCACAAGAAGCACTACCAGGATATCTACTGTCTTGCTTTCTTCCACACAGGATTATCATCTTTCTAATCTAGGCAAACTAATGTAATAATGGTCTCCACTTCCCCCCAAATTTACCATAGGTATAGTGAAGATTTATGAAGTTTCTGATGCCCTAGAGTACTATTTCACTATGAAATAGTGAATATATTTCACTAAGAAATATAAAACTGGGCAAATACTGTGTGGACAACACGATTTCAATATTTTTGGCAGTTTTTACAACCAACTCTGAATCCTTTGGGTACATACAAAGCAAACCATATTATGAGGACACTCAATTATAAGAATATTAAAAGTTATTTTCATATTTCTTATTAGTGAATCCATACTTTTAAGTTACAGAACTGGCTCTATTATTAAATTAGTTGGCAAATATAAATGATTATAAATAAGGTGCATTATAAGATCAGGGTCCTCTGGTGCTTATCACTTTTTTCTCACCTGAGAAAAGCAGCGAATGCTCGATTACTACCGTGCCTACTGCTGACTGAGAAGTGGTTAGGTTATCACTGCAGCAGGAAGCCAGGTTGCCTCAAATTCAGTAGTACTTAAAATAATAATAAAGTGCAGCGAAACAGAGGATTACCAATCTTATCCCTTCTAAATGAAAGCCCAGAAATCTCACCTGAATTCTGACTTTGAGGGCAATCTTTCTTAAAATGTCCCACAGAGCCACAAAGTCTGCAGCAACCACCTAGAAAAAGAACAAAGTCATTGAAAACCACTCACACTACATGGGGCTCTTAAAATCTCAAAGCACTTTCATATCTTAGCTGGTCCTCCTGACCTTGTCAATTGCAAAGGTAGCTGAAGCCAGGAACACCCATGGGTGCCACCATTCCTATTGATAAGTGCATTCTCCATCCTCTTGACCTCACAGAGCACTGAACTGCGCCTACCCTTTTGTTGCACCTGGCCTTCAGGGAGAAGTGGGAAGGAGGGAAGAAGTATGATAGAAGACACTTGTCCTCTGGAATGTCCAAGAGCTACTGCACAGAAGCCTGGACCATGGTTGGATAGGCAAGGGTTTGTGAACTCTTAAACCTGTGAGCAAAATCTGTGTGATATATTTGTCAAGGATGTCCACAGTCATTATCACATTCTCCAATGATCACTGACCACCCCCCAATTCACCCCCCCCCAAAAAAAAGGTTAGAAACCACTGCTGTGCAGTATAGGTCAGATGCAGGTGAGCAGTTATGAAAGGAATAAAAATCAACTTTTGTTTCTATGCCTCCTATCTAGCCCTAATTAAAATGCCTATGTACCTACTTTAAGCAACATTACAGGAGTGGTTTCTAAAATGAGTTTTCTGCATAATGGTCAAGCGTCATCATGAGCATGCACATAATGTTAAGTAACTTACTCAAAAAATGTCCCTACAGAATATAAACCTCTCGCTTCTATGCAGTATACTCTTCTTGCTGCACTTTTTAAAAAAATATTTCATCATTTTGGTTGACCACCCAAAACCATCTTCGTTCATTTATCATGTTACAGGACCTGCTTCACGGGCTCAAAATTCAAAGGCACACTTGAGCGTTTTTCCAGGCCCAGGCCTCCATACTGTTTGTAGAGCTGTGGTGAAATGACAGATTTTAATCCTCGTAACTTTTCAAAGGGAACACCATAATTCATTAAATCTAAGTAAGATACCACTGATTATAAGATCTATCACTGTTTTACATGTCTCTCAGAAAAAAAAGAAAATATGCCAATTATGTGGGACCTACCACTGGTAAGACACATTCTGGTTCAGAGATACTAAAATGTGAAAAAATATGCATCTCAGAAGCAAATGAAATATGTAGCTTTTTTACATCTCTATTTTATAAGTGAAGAAACTGAGATGAGAGGCACTAAATAACACAGCCAACGTCCCCCAGCTAGTAAGTGGCGGTGCACAGCTATAACCGGTCTGACTCGCTCTGAAAGCTATGCTTTCTCTCTGGACTTCTCCAGTGGAACCCAGGACACGACACACGAGGTGTCTAGAACCCGATGGTACCGGCCATCACATTAACAGATGACTCACATTAACAGATGACAACCTCCTTCAAGTTTTAGACCTCATAGACTCTATGTGAGGACCTAAGGACATTAGCTAAGATAAATAAGAAAGTTACATGATCCCATGCCAAACAATAAGGAAAACGTTCAGAAACAAAAATTACTACATATGATAGCATAAGCAGCCTTTTACACAAAAATGGTATGCTAGACGGAGATTAAATTCATAGTATTTTTAAATCACATATTTAAAATCTTGTATCAGTTTGAGATATAATCCCTTTGCTTCTGTTATGTTTAAAAGTAGAAGTTTATAATATATTCTCATGATGCTAAAGCAAGCAGAGTCTGAAATACTCACCTGAGTTTCTTCTGATTTGACTTATTATCAAGTCATATTACCCAAAAAGTCCAGTACATAGAATAGTGCTTGATAAAAATAATTAAATTCTCAAGGTTTTGTATTAAAAAATGTATCCAAGAATGGTTAACACTGTAAGTTAAATATAACTGCATGCTGAGTCACTGTGTCTGACATACAAGGGTAACGGTACTCACCATCAGCATAGACTCCTTTGGGATTATCAGGGCAAGATCTGGACAGGTGCCCCATTTCCCCACAAACAAAGCATTTTGCAAAAGGAAATTCACCTGTAAGGGTCAAACAGTTCCTGTTAAGTTGGTCATGTATATTACAAGTCATGTAATTCATATTATTTTAAAATCCTCTGAGAAGAAAGTAAGTTTTTACATAATCTATAATTTAATCTTATTTCAAAAAGTAGTATACTCGTAACCCTGTCACCAGAAAAACCCAGTTGGCTACTTATTGGCCACTTTCCCACTTTTGATAAGCACATCAAGATTTGACAAGAAAACAAAACATACCAAGAGCTGGGTCTACTTTAGCCTTGCACTTGGTTATTTCATGCTCTGTAGATCCACATCGGTAACATATTCCAGTGCCCATATCTTGATTCTCGAGGGCAGCTGGGCAATCTGCAATCCCATGGCCAGGTTGTCTACAATGAAAACATACCTGGGAAAACAAAATGTTAGTTTCCACACTGCAAAACCACACTGGCTTTATCAATTCTTGTTATCAAAAATATCTTTGAAACATTTCTCATTGTAAGGTTATCTAGCACTTTTTCTGAAATCTCACATTTTATCTGGATAAAAAAGCCTTTCACACAATCCTAAACAATAAGAAATGTCCTTTCCACCAGGGTCGCAGTATTTTTGAAAACCCTCAATCCATCCATTTCAGACACAAAGTTGGAAGGGGCTCTATAGGAGATCATCACTTAAATGAATTAAAACTGAGTTTTCTAAAGTAGACAATACATACAAATTATCACTCAAAATTAACATTTGCACATTTAAAGTTCATATAATTGAATGAATTTGGGTTAAAGGATTACACTTAAATTCTGATTCAAATCATAAACTAAATTTCATACCAAAAAGTGTATGTTACAGTTTTAATATCTTTATAATACATATCCTTTACTATTCAAAAATAGATTTTTCGGCACCTGCCTGGGTTGCAGGCCAGTTCCCAGCAGGGGACACACAAGAGGCAACCATACGTTGATATTTCTCTCCCTATCTCCTTCCCTTCCCCTATAAAGATAAACAAATAAAATCTTTAAAAAAATAGATTTTTCATTTTTAGAATACACACACAATTCTTTTTAAAGGTATAATTCTAAGATGAATTATTTAGCTCCAACATAACATGGGACAATGGTTTGCTTTTTTTTACATGCTGTCTAGCAATTTGGAGGATTTTTGGCTGCACTGAATGAGAACATCAGTCATAATCAAATTTAAACTATTTTATTTATACTGGAAAAAGACAGATATAGTTCTTGGATAACAAACAGTTCATCTACAATTTTTTTTCAAAATAAGCGTAAAAATAAGTTTTTAAGAAAGTAAATTCAATAGGCAAAATAAAACATAACATTTTATCACTATGTCCTTTCTCTTTTTTCCTGTTTAATAACAATGGACAAAAATGGGCTCCTTTATTCTTCAGTATCTTTTACATTTAGAATGACCTGGTCCAAACAAAGGAATGCATCTATTTATTTATTTATTTATCTATCTATCTATCTTCCTACCTACCTACCTACCTATTTATTTATTTATTTCTCCTCACCCAAGGACATGTTTGATTTTAGGGAGGGAGGGAAGGGGAGAGAAAGAAATCGAGATACTGATCTTTGATCAGCCGCCTCTTGTATGTGCCAACCAGAAATCGAACCCGCAACCTATAGGTATGTGCTCTGACTTAGGAAGCAAACCCAAAACCTTTTGGTGTACGAGGATGACACTCCGAACAACTGAACCTCTGGCCAAGGCAAGAAAATGCATCTGTTCTTCAACTGGAGGAAAAACTAATGCTAAATTTTGAATTATCAACATAAGAGGTCTTGGGTTTTGGGGGAAGTCAAGGTGGTTTCTAATAACCTGGCAGCTCACTGATTACTTTTTATGTAAATTTCGAATACAAGTTTCTTGAAAGATCCTTAAATTTTATGTAAATTGGACTGTGGGAAAGCAAACTAGTAAGTATCTACATCTTAATTTATTAGCAATTAAGAACTGATGCTAAGTATGAGTTATTAAGAAAATTACAAGAAAGCCAGCTGAAGGTAAGTCACAATAAGCCATACTGTTTAAAGTACATACTTTAAAGCATTCCTTAAAAAAAAAAAGAACAATGTTCTTCCACCTCAATTACTTCTCTTAACTTTTCTTCAAAGGTCACAATATTAACCTTTTCCAAATAGTATGCAAGTCACCATGCTGTTTATGTCAATGAAATTATCTTTAAATTATGTTTGACTTAAAAATATTTAAAAATAATTGTACAATCTAAACAAAACTATCCTGATCCAAATAGAAATAATTCTCTTTTCTATCTCCATTTATCCACAAGTAATGTCTCCTCAGTATTATTTTTAAATATCACACTGCACAAAACCAATCCTGCAAATGTCGGAAGCTACACTTATGGCAGTTACAACACTTCAAACCTGCCTTGGTACAAACAGAGCTCTACATTTAGTAATTCTAATAAAAACTGGAAAGTATAAAATGATAACAAATCCTGATTCTTATGCAGTATCCTGCTAGAAGCCTTGGGGAATTCACTTAGAGAAGGGAAAGAAATATACAAAGTATTTCACTGTGTCTGACAGTTTAAAATCTAGGGCTGGGCACCACAGAAATAAACCTGCAGCTGCCCCCCCCCACATTCCTCTGGGTATGAAATGGGAGGGAAAAAGCGGTAACTAGATAACTACGGAGTCTCAAGAAGTTTTAATTCTGCTGCTCTACTACTAATTACTGTGATTTGTATTAGAGCTCCTTCTTGTGTCTGTTTTTCATGCATAAAAAATACATCCTTTCCAAACCGAAACCACACCTTTTTAACCAGTTGTATTCAATCTTCCTACTTATTTTTATCTTAAAAAAAAAATGGTTGTTTGAAAAGGGGCTATGTTGAGACAGATATGAGATACAGGTTTTGAGGTCAGACTCTGGGTTTGGAAAAAAAGTTTTTTGGACGGACTGCATAGCCAGCGGCCCATTTAGATTCACATGCATTTAATAACATTACTTACATAGTACCAGCCAGCATTCTAAGCAATCAAGTGTTAACACTTTTTCCTGGGTTTGAGTTTCCCATTTCCTACTAGCAAAGTGGTTTCAGCAAGATAGTTCCCCACCTGCACGTTAGTGTTTCTACCCATAAACGTGGGAATGCCACCACTCGTAATTTTGTCCTGATAATTAATCAGTACATTAAGTAGCCGGCATGCAGTTACTAGCCCTCGCAGAGATGCTTTATACATTAGTACAAAACAGCAATCAGACTGCTAAAATATGAGTATAAGTTTCTAGCCATATAAAGTAATATTTTGGTAGAAGTGATCATCTTACCATTGCATTTTTCTTTGCTGCTTGTCTTTTTAATCGTCTTCCTTCCCTGCGACTATCTTTTTTCAAAGCAACTGCAATTTCTTCCCTTACTTCCTGACTGTTTGTTGCTATAGTCTCCTCATTGTGAGCCATCTGGGAGTTTTGTCTTAGGTATTCCATGAATCCATTCACATCTTCATTTAAGTACTCCTTTTTCTTCTTGTTCTTTTTGTGTTTTGCTTGGGGCGCATCATTTTTAAGGGACAGCCTATTGGCTTCACGTTGTTTACTCTTTGGGAGGTTTTGGCTCTTGTCCTCGAAGGACCCCTTCTTCATATCTTCCCATGATGTTGCAGGCAAGGGTCTTTTGTTATGTGCGGTGGTAACTCGGGCCCATCGAGTCATGGTTTTACCAGAGGTTCTGTATCAAGCTTTAAGACAGGCACGGCAATTAGTCATTTAAAAGGGAAAAACCTAAAGATACATGACATATATCACATATGCCCATATGTTAAAGTTTGAATTATTAAAACATGTTTTTTACTTCATTTAGGTATCTGTATATTTAGTTCTATATAATGTGTTGCAAATAGTCCCATAATGGAAATGTAGCCCTTACCACAGAAGCTACCACACCAGTAAAAAACAAGAGCATGCCTACTATAATATAAATACTTGCTTAAAACTGGAAAACATTCATTAAGAAACCAGGTTATTTTGCAAAATTTAAATCACAAAGTAATAACAGTGAATCAAGTTACTCTTCCAAACTTCCCAACTTTCCTAGCCGTTTCTTTTCTTGTCTCTAAATCCCAGGGCTACTCACTTCCAATCTTGTTAACTAACCTACTTCAACGCAAAGCATCCGCTTTGCTAGATTGTACACAAAAATCCTGTGGTTTCATGTGATTTGTCTCTACAACTCTTTCCGGCAGATTGATAAGTGAAATATATAAGCGTTCACAGTCACGTGATGGGACCGGGGCTAGCAAATCATCTAGCAATTAAGCTGCACCCCTATTACGGCAGCATCCTGTGCAACAACCAATGTTTAAAAACCTCAGCTCCTGTGGTCGAACACCCCCTCAACACGACCCGAGGGGCGGGACCAAGAAACAGGTGAGATGCTGTGCGTCGCTTGGCACCACGCGCATACACTCGTCACAGCACACCGTGAGACTGTCCCAGTTAAGAATTCCCTTCCCCGGGGGAAGGGGACAACTCCGAGGATCAAGCCCGGGCAGTCCGCGTCTACTCTTAGGGCAGGCTCCGGCGGGACCTACGCGCCTGCCGGAGTGGCCAGCGCCCCGCAGCTGAGCCCGTCCGCGCGCGAGCCTCCGGGGAGGCCGCACAGCCCGGCCCTGCAGCCTTACCTGGTGCTGAGGGCCCCTGGGTGCCTAGCAGCCAGGCCCTCTGCCCCGCAGCCGGGTCCCAGGAAACCACGGAAGCCACTCCACCGCTCTGTGGGCGGTCCCGGGGCCCCCTCCCGTCTCAGCGCCCGCGCCTTCCCACCACACGTGAATCCTCCAGAGCAGCAGAGTCAGCGTGCCAGAGAAGCCCGCTCCCCTGCAGCGGCCTCGGGACCGGAATCACGTCGTTTTGAGAGCGCGTCACTTCCTGCGGGCGAAAGAGGGTTTGGATCTTTAGGCTTTCGGCTGATTCTGGGGACTCCTGCTTGACTGGTGACAGTGGCTGGGAGGACGTTGGCGGAGCGCCTAGAATTTGAAGGGCGCTGACCTGGACACCTGGAAATCAGAGATGGAGACTGCTCATTCCGTGCTGTCTGGAACTCATGTATCAGTGGCGAAATGGACGAGAAGATCGGTGGGGTGGGACACTGGGAACGCTTTCTTAAGAAGATGATCTTGGAACTTCGGAAAACAAAAATTCGGTGAAAGTCGCTGTGGGAGGGAATTAACAGTTTCTAGGCAGATGTAAGGTACAAAGCACTAGCGTAGTGAATCACTGTCTAAAAAAAGACTTCGGGGGCCCTGTTGATAGAAGGCGATGCCTAATGGTCTGCCCAACGCTATTTAAGCATTCAATTGAAATACATTACACTGTGGCCAAAGTTCTCTTCTTAAACCCTGGTCTCCGAAACAGCTCATTATTTCAACAACTCCTCCCAAACGGCCAGCACCGCCAGATGTACCTATCTTATCCACTCATGCTCCCATTCCCATCAGTGGATAGCTGGATCTATTTTATCACTTAAATTATCTGTCCACTTCTTTGTCTCTCTCCTCACACGTCTCAACATCTTATCCGATTACTGGCAGCTGGTCTGCGCATTCGTACTTGGCGCTCCCTGAAACCCATTTTCCATGCTTTAACCAAGTGAACTTCTGAAAATGTAAATCAGATGTTGCTCTCCTGTTTTAATCCCTTGCATAGTTTCCCATTGTTCTTAGAATGAGACTCCTTAACTTAGTATTAAGTCCGTGCTCACTTCACTATCTTCCAGCTTGAGCAATCTTCCTCCTCTGAGCTCCAAGCATAGGAACCTTCCCTCAGTTTTGCAAATGCCCCATGTTCCTTGCTGTCTCCAGGCCTCTACATAGGCTGTTTTCTTTGAATGATACTCCTTTTCTTTCAACTAATTTCTTAACCAGACTCTTCAAGGCTTTCAATATTTTTCTCAGTAATCTTTTCAGTGCCCCCTCCCCCAAACTATGTCAATCCCCTATTGTACGCTCATGGCAGTTTATGCTTCCTTACAGCATTTTTCAAATTTGTAATTATATTAAAAATTGTGTAATTGTTTATTGTATCCCCATTGCCTGGTATGTATTTAGTGCTCAGTTCATTTTTTATAACTAAATGAAAAATAGGGACTTTGCAATGCTCATTAAAGCAAACTAGAAAGTAACCCACTTTCATTAAGAGGAAGAATAAAGTCCACTGTGGAAGTAGTGGGATTTGGTATTGTAAAAGTCACCAATATCCTAGGTCTCACTGCAGGGAAATTGTTAAAAAACAAGTGCTCCAGCTCTTGAATAGAGGGAGCTTTCTAAAATGTAGGAGAGTGCTGTGCATATCATAATGTTTTCAGTCATCAGGCTTCAGCACTTTTAACCTAGTGATATCGTATCAAGGGATTTTCTTCACAGAAGCCAGCTACCTGCACATAACATAAACCACTAGAGGGTGCATTCAGCTAAAACTTGTCTTTTAGTATTGTGTTGGATTTCAAACTGTAGATTGGTCATCTCTAGAAGTGAAGGAACATGATCTCAATTTGTTTTTGTGAAATTATCTCAAAAAAATATTAGTAATTGAGTAAATAGGCCATGGAAATCCTTAGGGATTCGGGAGAAAATGTTACTGTTCGTGCTATTGATAGCTAACTGAACATTTTATAGGCAACTAACACTGCTGGATGCTTTACATTCATCACCTAATTAATTCACCCAATATCTTGAGAAGTAAGTATTGTTTTCTCCATTTAACAAAGAGGAAATAAGCTTAGAGAGTTGAAATAATCCAAGTTACACATCTAGTAAGAGGCAGAGTCAGGATTTAAACCAAGATCTCAGTCCAAAGCCTCTACTACTTTGAAATACTGCAGGGGATTGTTTCTTTGCCTGAACCCACTTTTACTATTTTTTTTTAAAGATTTTATTTCTTTATCTTTAGAGAGGAAGGGAAAGAGAGAAGGAGAAAAACATCAATGTGTGGTTGCCTCTCATGAGTCCCCTGCTCAAGGCACATGCCTAGACTACAGGTTAAGTCCCTGGTCTGGGCGTGTAGGAGAGGCAAGTGATTGATGTTTCTCTCTTACATCAACATTTCCATCCCTTATCCTCTCTCTAAAATCAATGATCATGTCCTCAGGTGAGGATTTTAAAAAATAATTCTTTTTTAATTTGCTTACTGTTTATTTACCAGAGTCTTCAAAGAGCTGATCTATGCATTATGTTTTATAGCTGCATTCGGTGGGACACATGGGGAGTGTTCTCATTCCATCTTAACTGTAATTGAAACCACTGCCATTAAAATTTAAATCCTCATTCTTGCCTAGATTCTGAGAGTAAAAGGTACTTAGCCAGCAGGCTAGAATGACTAGTAGGTACTGCAGGACTAAGAGTGTCCAAGGCCCAGCCTGGGTGAGCCAGCTCTGTAGCTGAGCCTGAGTCTCACACTTGTGTGGGCTGCTCCAAACCAACCTATTTAACTGTAGAGTAATTTAAGAAAAATAGCAAATCCAGAAACAAAGCAAAGGACCAGATTTTGCTGAATGATTTCTTTTAGCCAAATGAAAGGTGCATTTTATTCTTTAGAGCTTACACTAGTAAAGAACTATATAAAGTTTTTAAGTGCACATAGTAGACCCTATAAAATAGATCTAGAGAAGAGGGTTGGGTGTAGGAAAATGTACCTAATACTGTGCTCAGAATTCTCTGGTCACTTATTGAATCTCATTTAAGAATACAGAAAAATGAAGCAAGAAAGAGAGGAAAAGGATTAATGACCCTACTTAAAATAAAAATGAGATCCAGACCAGTGACACTCTAATAGCTTCTTTCTTAAAAATCTGTTGGTGATTTATGAACCCTTACAAACCCTGTTTTATGGACCCTTATAATAAGGCCTGGAGGTAATAGAATTATGAGGGGTTTTTTTTTTTACCATTTTATAAATGTTCTTTGATGAGTATGCATTATATTTAGAATAATTATTAAAAAGTTTTTTAATCCATGGGAGTTTTGAGACAGGACATGAGAATTTCCAGTTATAGATTCAGAGAAATACATACCTTTAAGAATCTTATGTTACTGTTTGATAAGTCAGTAAACAAAGTGTCAGAGAAGTTAAGTGATTACCTAGAACACACTTCTAGTGACAGAGTTTTATTTTCTGACATGCAAGTACAGATAACCCCATATTTTTATTTTTTCTTTGGTATTATTGGTTTCCTCAGTAATGAATTATTGAGCTTCACTTTATTGCCCTTCACAGGTGTTGTGTTTTTTTACAAACCAAAGGTAAGACCCTACACCAAAAAAAAAATGTTATGACTCACTTTATTACTGTACTTGCTTATGATGGTGGTCTGGAGCTGAACTCATGATGTCTCCAAGGTATGACTGTGTTACTAAGTATTACTTCAGAAGAGAAAGGAAATGGTTTCCAAAGTGTCTAACAGAAGGAACCCACTAGTCGAAGTTGCTTGAGGTTACTAAACAATAGGAGTAGGAATAATACAAAGTTTGTGTTCTCCCCTGAAAAAGCTTGTGCCTTTTTCATATTTTTTCCTTAACCATGAGAAATAACAGTATTGAAAATATTAATCACAAAAATGATATGGTCTTCTCACTCTCACCCTCTTCTGGTTTGTTTCTCAAGTTCGAGTTTCTAATCATACATTTAAGTGGTTAGAGTGTCAAGCACTTCAAATGAATATGTAAACCTAAATTACATGCAGCAGTAAGATTTACAGACTCTCATCCCTGAAATGAGCACTTCCTCCTTATGTCTGAGGAAATGCTACCGGATATGGGCCTTAGATTTTTCCTTCAGAGGGACTAATGGGCAATCTGGAGTTATCAGTGAGATTCTGTGAAGTGGGGTAGGTGAGGAAAAAGCATTGTTTGATATCTACTGTTTGCAGTACTTTGTTAAATGCTAGATACAGGAAAAGGACAGAGTTCTCGCCTGTAAGCAGCCAACATCCTGTGAGGGGAAACAGTTTGGTAAACCTCTAGTAAGGTGATAAGTGAAGAAATTACACTGGTAATTTAGACTACAGATAAATGTCTTCCTAAGAGATTTTGGAAAACTTTACAATAGAATTTGTTGCAGACAGCTGGAGATCGAGATAAAGGTAAGGAAGGTGATGGGGACAAGTCAAAAAAAAAAAAAAGAAAGAAAGAATCTATCCTAGCAAATAAGCTGAAATGTTTTGTGTAAACAAAGCACATGCACACACACGTATACAAACAGGTTTTACGAGTGAGAATTTAAGCTGATACTTTACAAAGGATGAAGGTGCGCATACCCAAGCTGCCAAAATGTTTAGTACAGATTTAGTATCTAAGAAGTAGTCTACCTCTAAGTCTCTGGAAGAAAAGTAATAATGACTTAGAATGAACTAATTTAAGAGAATCACATAGTAGGGAAAAAGTAGCCCTCCAAAACATATGGCATAGAAAATAAATGATCTTGGGAAAGAGGCCCCACAAACATTTTAAAAAATATTTATGGACCAGGAAAATGTACAAAGTCATATATATATTCTGGAATATGTGAGTGTATGATGGTAAGCTCTATGAAGATGAACTGGGTACAGTCCATACCCCAGAGTTTCCAACAATCTAGTGCAGGACACTGACTGTTATGCCTACACTACCCCAAGGAGTAAATGCAGGAGGGCAGATGTGGATTCGTGCTCAGGTCCGCCCAAGGCAGCTCAACACGGAAATCACTAGCAAGTTCTCAAACGTTAGCAACATTGGGTGTATGTT